TGATATCATTACCCAAGGTTGAAGGCAGAAAAAGAAATATGAGGAAACCAAATAGTAATTTGATAAACAGCCATCACCATCCTTACTCGCTTCGCAAACGAAGGTGCCTTGCTATTGCACATAAAGCAACACGAGCTGCCTTCCCCATACACCTAAAAATATCAGCCATGCATGGTGGAGATGAGTCCCAATCTTCCAAAGCCCTGCTACAATAAAGCAAATGATGTGTTACCAATTTTGCAAAAAAAAAAAAAAACTAATATGAACAAGCATGAGAAAAGCAATTGTTAAATACTTTTCTCAATTACATGTGAGCTTTAGCAATAAGATAAATTAAAGCAATAATTGTTAAACATAGCAAAGACAAGCTTTGGCATTAGGCAATAAAATTTCAAAAAAGCAAACAGAAAAAAACGTATACCTTCCAGCCCTATACATATAAACCCCACGGCTTCCTTTTCCAACGGTATTTACCCGACTCCTAAAGTACAACCGCGCGGCTTCCAGGCCGCAACGCATCAATGCAGCGTCGTCGTTCCCAAACTCAATAACCGCCGCATTATGTCTCATCAAAGACACCGAAAAAGCCTCCACGGCCTTCAGATAGGAAGCCGAAGGGGCACCATCATAAGGAGAAATATCGGCTAGCCGAACCTTGGCGAGTGGAAGTGGGACGGTCCCTATGGTTACGAGAGGCTCACCGGAAGGAAGGGCGGCCGAGATTGGAACCGCGACATGATCGAAGGAGGGCTGACATGGAGGAATAGGGAGAGGGGATTGAGTGGAATTGGGAGTAGGGGATCTAAGTGAAGAGGCAGAAGAAGGAGGTGGAGGGTTTGGCTGTGGCGCTTGTTGCGTCTGCGGCTGCTGCATCATCATCGCTGCCATTAATCATTTCTGAAATTTGAAAAAGGAAAGGTGGGTTTTGAATTAGGGTTTTGGAAAAATCATTTTGGGCAGAGCAGATGGTGAGGGAGACGCCCCCAAACCCAACTCTCAAAGGCCAAAGATACTGCTGCTATTTGTTTTTTCCTTCTTTTTTTCCCTAATCAGAATATCTGAGCGGGCACGGACGTTAATTCTACCAAGGAATAACGGGGGAAGAGATTCATCGGGTCATCGCAATTGCAAACCTGATCCATTGGTTGGACGATGAAATTAATTTTGAATTTAAAAATAATAATAAGATTATTATAATTGTAATTAAAAATAATCATTATAATTAAAAATTTTAATAAAAAATTTATATTAAATTTGATATTTAAATTCTGCATGAAATTCAAACCTAACTGTTGTCTTTGTCAGAAGAAAAAGACTTTGACCTGCCTTAAAGTGGAGAATCGAATAAAATAGAATTTACAAAAGAGGACGAAAACCAATATTTTATTTTATTTTATTTATAATAAATTATTTATTTTAATTTTAATTTTAAAATATTAAAATATTAAAAAATTAAATAAAAATGTAAACAAATTAAATATTAACATAATCTACTATATTTATAATATTTTTTAAAATTTAATAACTAAATATAAACAAATAAAAAGCACTTATAATTTATCTTTGGACCATTTTATTTTTTTTACATCTTAAACATATAAATGAAAAAACATTAATAAATTTTATTATATTTATAATTTATTTATTTAATTAAAGAATCAACTTAATAAAACCAATACAAGTAAACTAATACAAGTAAACTCTTTGTCGAACGTTGTTTCACCCTAACCGGATCAGGATCGGGAAAACCATTTTGAGCTCATGCTCTTTGGCAATACACTATTTTTTTTAAAAAATTTATTTTATTTAATTAAAAAATTACGTATTTAAATTCTTTCAATTCGATAATTTTAATTTTAATAACATACCATCCCAAATCATAGTTAACAACTAATTATTCATATTTGTTGAATGAAATGAGTCAAATTCCAACGAATCGATTTTTGTTTGGAAGGGAAAGGCAACGATAGTGATTAACTGAGTGGAGAAGAAAAGATGAGTTGTCTACCGTTACTCTATCCCTACACCAAAACCGCAATTCTTTCGTTCATTTCCTAGCAAAAATGACGGTCTCTGTCTGTGTGTCCAAAAACCACACTTATCTTTTCTGCTTTTCTCTTAACTTTGGGACTAATCCTTCTCACTCTTCGCCATCACCGGGTTCCCTTTTCTTCTTCACCTCACTTCCGTGCCCTGCATTTCTTTCATTCCCTTTGAAGCTTTCAACTTTTGGTAAAGTTTGCAGGATATGACAAGCTTTGTATCCAGCCACAGTTGTAATTGGTCGGTAGGAGTTTCGAAACATTTCTGCAGCAGGAGAAGATTTTGCAAGCTTCCAAGCTTGAGATGTTGTGGCCTGTATTTTCCTTTGGGAAGATTTAGTTTTTCCCAGGCCAGGGTCAATACCTTGCTAGTAGTACGTCCCAAACTCGTTGGAGATGTGGACCAATCTTTGCCAGTGCCGTGGATGATAATGACATCGACTCAGATAGCGCTGAGGATGGGAATGATGAGAAAGAATCTTCACAAGGCGAAACTGAAGTAGTATGCTTTATCTTTTCTCTTTAAATAAAAAAATTAATAAAGTTTACGTTTTGTTTGTTGCAATGATGTGTTTGAGATCAAGATATTCATGTTTCGTTGAATTTGCATGTTGGGTTTTGATATTTTAGTCTGCTGTTAATGGTTGTGTACACTTGTAAAACTACCGATAGCCATAGAACATGCCTATTGGATTTTACTATGTTAGTGTGTGATTAATCATTTTAGACGATTTTACTGCCTTTATGATATATAAAGGGTCAATTTCCTACTCTTTTACTGATATAATTGTTGAGTTTGTTACTCATGAAGGAGAAAATGATGGGCATTATCTTTGAATTTTGGTTTATATACAGTAAAAAGCTATATGCATAGAGTTGGCAATTTGGTGGATTGGGTCAGTTTATCTTCGGATTGGAATTTTTGGTTGACTTTTGAAGTTGAGATTTGGATAAGGAATAAATTGGGATTTTGACTTTTCTGGTTATTACTGGTATGGTCAGGTGAGGTTGGCTAAGGTAGCATTTATTTGTCAACTTCAATGGAGTGGACTGGCAATGTGAGAGAATTTGTAGATGGACTAGAAGCTGGTTTTGTTCTATTCTATGATTGCTAACTTGGTGGATTCTTGTGATATTCCTTTATAGATTGTTCTTTATGGACAAAGTTGCCTTCCAAGTTTCTGTTCTTGCATACAAGATCTTAACGCGTGCTGTTTTGATTTGTGTTTATTTATACTCCTCTTTTGCAATGGTCTCAGATAAACAGTGAAATGCTTCGGGAAAACCTTGAACGAATAGTTGGCACTGATGATTCCACCTTTACTGGCTTAGACCTTGCAACTCTTATTAGGAATAAATATGGCAGGTCTTACGATGTTCAATTGATAAAAAAGGTATGCATTTCTAAATGAGAGGATGGCTTTATCAGCTTATTTTTTTCTCGTTCTAACTTATAATTTCATAGATTCTTGATCATGCTTTTTGAAATGATAACTTATAATGAGATTTGGGTTTCACCAAGCACAAGTTTGAGATGGTTCTTTCATGTGTAGCATGTAGATGAATGTTGTTAAATGATGTCCCAACATGTAGCCCAATTGTATAGAGTTATTTCCATGATGTCCCTTTTCCTGCATTGCATTTGAAAATTGTCTACTGAAAGTTTATCAGCTTGTCTAATGGGGTAAAGAAAAAATCTCTATGTCCACTGTATGCAAAAGCATTTGGTGTATCTAACTATAAACTATTAAGGATTCATTTCAAGAGCCAAGCTTAATGAATGCTATAAAGTTTCAAGAAAGCTCTGTGAACAATTGTCTTATTTCTTTAATTATAGGGTGCAGACTAATGTGTTTATGACAGCAACAGCAGATAACACATTGATATTTGTAAACGAAAAAATATGCTTTTTCTGCAATTGCATAACGTGATTATGATTTAGGACTTGCTTTTGCTTATTACAGAATCCAGTGCACCTAACTTGTTCTAAATAGGTGTAAATTTAGAGTACAACACCATTTTTGCGTCTTTGAGGGCTTATACGAAGTTTCATTCAATGTTGTGCCATGGTGATTGGATTAACAGTTTATTCAGTTGCTTGTTTGTGTTTGCTTCAGATTTTCATTTTGTCACTTAAGAGTTTACCTTTGCATGCCTTAATTTAGGAGTTCATGGGAAGAAATCTCCTTGCAGTGAATGTTATGTGGAAGTACATCAAACAGGTAAGCAGATTTTGAGCCACAGAGATGTGTGTTGGGAATATCATAATAACATATTACTAGTAATATTACTAAGTTTTGAAAATGGTTGAGCCGATTATGATTTTTTTATATATAAAGAATTCTTCAAATCACTAATTTCAACGCTTCTTTGAGACAATTTATGCAAAAAAAAACTTGCTTATTTACAGAATTTGGTTTTCCACAAATATAATCTTCTGTTCCTTTAGTGTTGATTGATGAAAATATAATCTTGCAATGAGACTTTTTGCTTTAGTCTATAGTCACATATTCTCGACCAAAATGACCCTATGGTTCTGGCTTAAGCAGATTTATCAGCTAACCCTTACTGTGTTTGACATGTGGTTGAGTTGGATTTGTGTCATATTTCATAGAGTTTTGGATGTTATGCAGGCAGTCAGCATATTTATAGACATGTACGAGTCTGGAGGACGTGCAAAAGAATGGATTTACAAGTAGACCGTTCAAGTGAGCCAGCCCAGCCATCATCATCCACTGATTTATTTTGTGGTGATAACTTATAACATCTATTTGCCTCACTTGAATCCCATTGCAACCCCATAGAACATTGTTTTACTACCAATTTCCATTCTGGTTCTGCATGATTATGTCGCATAAACAATATTTATGCTTGGAGCCTTGAACGCAGGGAGAGTAGAATGATAGAGACTTGAAACTATATGTAATTTGTAATCGATCCAATAAAACATACAATTCATACAACAAATTCCTAAAATTTTTAAATTTCAATTAGCATAATCTTCTTCCCATCAGGAATTCTTTCTTTTCTTTGGGAGTGGATGGGTGGAGGTTTATCAGGGTTGCCACAAAAGCTTAGCTTTACAGTGGGAGTGCAGAGGAGTATGATATTTCAATATACATGTGTACGAAGTGCTGAATGCCTGGAAACAGCATGACATGGAAGAGCCAAACAGAAACTTTTCATGGAAGCTGGGAAGTGCAAAAAAGCTTTGTGGGTAGAGCAGATTAATCTGGTAGAAAAATCTGAATTCAGAAGCAGCAACTCCAGCAGTGAAAATATGGGATGTGTCCAGTTCTTCGAATATATTCTGCTTGCTGCTCGGTTTTTGCAGCTTGTTGGTTTCTTCTGGCTTCGGCTGCCGCACGCTTCTCTTCTGCCTTGTACCTTGCAGTTGCTAGCTTATTCTTGAGCTTATCGTGAGCACGCCCCCTCATCCTTTCAACCTCAACCTGAAAACCACAAACCATACAGTCCATGTATAAATTCATTTCTAACTATTAACAATAGAATTTTTAATCAGTATCATGCATGAGGTAGTAACAGCAAATTATCTAGATTTGTTAAACCTCTACATAAAAACTGAGCAACAATGATATTCATTTGCATAAATTTAATATTTAAACCGATTACAATGATTCGTAAAATGGAGGTAAAATGACATAGCTGTCTTAACTCTATACTCTGTATTGGCAGCCACTTTCCAGTTTCTTATACTCATAGATCAGTTGTACTTCACTATACCAGTCATATACATCTACATGTAATACAAGATTGATATAGGGATATTGAGGATAATCAATTGCCTAATATTAAGAGCTTGGCAAAAAGTGTATGAGCTGTGCTCAATCTTGCTGCTTAACGTGTGAGTCAAGCTTGACTTGAGCTAACAGAGAGTGACCCAGCATAGATAGAATAGTATGCTGCTTGGACTACAGCTTGCCTCTTTTTCAACTCTAATTATTGCTCATAGTTTGAAGCCATTTTAATGTTCTTTCAACTCTATGCCATTTGCATAATCACAACTACCAGAAGTCAATAAACACTTCTTGCATTAATGCTCATAGATGATAGATTTTATTAATCTTGAGATTTGCAATTTAGGCAATAAAAGAAATAACAGAGTGACAACAAAAATTAAAATGTATACTGTGAGATGCCTATATAATACCTCAATTTTCCTCATCTCAGCTTCAGTTTTTGCTTTTCGATGGTTCTCCCATGCTTGAATTTTCATTTCTTCACGTTTGAACCTGGATAATTGCCTTATAACTTTACATTTCAAGTTAAAGATGGAGTGTTAACCAAAAACTACCATTGCATAAGTGGTATGCAGATTTTTCTATATAAAAAAATTACCCTAAGTGTCCCTAACAGCCAAGTGCCACAGTCCAAAAACATAAGAAGATCCGAAAAATTTTATATAGATTCATCTATGGAAGCATATATTTCTCTACATGTCCATGCACCAAATGAAAAGATGTAAGTGTTATTTAAAAGCTTGTCAAATAAACAGATCAATGCCATGCCAGTTGTCTCGTAGAAAACTGTAAACCATGATCATGTGCAATGGTAAATTATATGCTTATGATCAATATTTAAGCTTCATAAAATAACCAAAATGATTCAAAATAAGAAAAAAAAATAATATCAAAAGGGGCCTTCACAGTTTCTTGGAAAGAAAATACCTGGCCAAATACTTGGCTTTCTCTGCCTCCTCCCATGCTGCTGCACGGGCTTCAATGACACTTTTAGTTGGTTGTTCTGGTGCTACAGTTTTCAGTGAAGTGGATGCATCCTTATCCTCCTCCTCTTTGCTAGCCCATGCAGCTATGTTTGTTTTACCCAACTGGGCCCCAAGAACCATAATTTCTCTCCTTATTTTCATTTGTAGCTCTTTCTCCAACAACACCATGTTCAGATCTAAGTGGTCATAAGGTGGATTTGCAGGTGATGAAGATGGCACAGCTCTGCTGGGAGTTGATGGCCTGGAAGAATTTGGGCTGCGAATCAGTGTTGTTGGCCGCACAGGAGTTTCTGTTCTCAAAGGTTCTTGGCTAGCAATAGGTGTCATTTCTGTGCCCATATCTCTCATGGATACTGATCTAGCTGTTGAAAGAGGAGGAATAAATGTTGTAGCACCATGTACAGACATTGATGAATCATGCTGGCTAAGACTAACTGCAAGGAAATCAACAATTAATTTTCTTAGTAGTAAATTGCAAATTACTACTTAAGCTTGATGTTAGACACAATCCATGCTTTTAGAAAGTTGAGATTTTTTCAGAAATAACTAAACACATATACACCAGCATTTAAGTTTAGGCACTTCATTCAGACAGCACAACTGCAAGCTCACCATCTCTGCTCTGTGTGAAAATTTCCGAGTTCCCTCACTGTCCAGAGCTGCTTGCAGCTTTAAAAAAATAGGGATCAAAGATCTAAAAGACTAAAGAACCTCATATCTCCAGCCAAAGGCTGTAAATTAGATTTTGGATCCACCTTTCTCAGTGAAACCAAAAAAGGCAAAATAGCTTGCTAATCCTTTTAAGCTAAGTATGGACATTAATAGGGTCAGGACTGAGATTTTTTTTCTTGTGGCAGCAAAATTCTGCATATTTACTTGAAAATATTATAGAAAATATAAAAACTAATTAATACAAGGTTGATTAAAGAAGAATATAATACTTCTGATAGTATCAATAACATGAAGAAAATTTCATTTTATGCACAAAAGATTTAAATAGAAGGCTTCCCTGAAAATAGCAGTTCCTAATTATTGAAGATATATCTAAATTTTAACATGATTTGTGCCGAATAGGGGCTAATCCTTCCATTAACAGCATGAGTGGAGACAATAATTTAGAATATAAGGGCTAATCCTTCAATCAGAAGCATTTAAGTTCAAATATAACTAAGCATAAACTAATTTCAACAAAAATAAATCCTTACTTGCTGACTCTGCAACAGAGTTCTCAATCTTTAGTACAGGCTCCCCATATGAATCCAAAATTGGGAATGGATCACACTCCCAATTTACAAATTTCTGCAACCCATTATCCTTCTTTGAGTGATTCACATCAATGCATTTAGTATCCGGTTCTTCAAAAGCAACCATCCTGTTATCTGGAACTTCAACAACCACCTTAGTAGATGATTGTCTCCCATAACCAAAATTACCACCCTTTCTTGATCCCACTCCTTGTCCTCCCTGCACCGTCTTCAGCCGATTTGCAGTGGGGCTAGCTATCCATTTCTGAGCATCATCCCATTTAGATGGCCCTGGTTTAGAAAAAGGCCCGACTGGAACTCTTTGTGGTGCCCGCTCAGTCTTCTGAAACTCAAAGATCGATGAGGATACAGTCATATCGTCATGTCCATTATCATAATTTAAACCAGGATGATCCTCAATGAACCGGTTCCGGGTATTGCCTAAAGAATGATCCTTTAAGCTACGTTCACCGCCATTCTGCAGAGCAGCCATCGAATCAGCCGTCGTGGTGGTGGAACATTCTGGAAGCACACTAACCACGTCTACATCTTTGAAACTATCAGAACCAATTTCCCCTGCATAAAAAAAATCAATTAAAAAAAACACAGTAAATGCATCGTGAAAAATAATTCAAAAAAAAAAAGAAAATACCTGTATCATCTATTGAAGATTCAGCTTCTTGTTCTTGTTCTTCTTGTTTTCTTTTCTTCTCTACTCCTATAATCCTAAGCTTGGAAGGCGAAAATCCACCTCCTCCCTACGCATTTTACAAGCAAAGGTTTTTTTTTTTGTATAAATGGAGAATAGATTTGATTTGAGTAACGGAAGAAAGGTTGAATTTTGAGATACCAACAAATCAAATTTCAAAACGAAATCTCCTTTTTCTTTCTCTTTCCTTCCAAAAATAAGAAAGAAACAAAGCATTGGGAGAAGAAAAGGCAAAAAAAATAAAGATTGCAAGAAGCGTAAGTACCTGAGGCTTTTGGATTCTTTCGTAATCCATGAAAATTAAAAAACAAAATTGCTTTCAATCCGAACACTCCAAAAAGAAAAGCAAGCTATCAATGGACTGCCATTGCCATTAGTGTTACTACTATGATTTTGCTTATTTGTTGTTTGCTACTTGAGAGATCAGAACATTTGTACATTGACATATTCTGGATAATGAGCCTTGAATGCGCGTCTCTGACAATATTACAAGGTTTTATATATAATAACAACAAAAGTTTTAAATATTACAAACGAACTTTTAAAATTGTCATATATTTCTTACGTTATAATAAAAAATTAATAAATTAAAACTAATTATAAAATATATATATATATATATATCAAATTCATCGTAAATTACAAGATATAAACTTAACTATGCAAGATCAGTAGAATATAACTCTTAATGAAAACCTCGTAAGTTCTCAAAATGAAATGATAAGATTTATAGAACTCCTAAAAGATTGTGACCCAGATCAAATGGTTAGAAAACATAGATTATAACTTCACTCAAGGTGTAGATAATTTTTGCCTTAACTTCTCTATAGAACACACTCGTAGTTTTCATAAATAATGCTAATTTAGTTAGAAATCCACTCATGATACTTTAAATAAAAGATTTTATATTTTAATTTAATTATGTATAATTATATATGATAATACTTTTCATATGTTTTCTAGAAGACTCCAAAGCTAATATTAACATCTTACTAACTCATTACGAATTTTAAATCTACTTTATGTTTAGTTTATTTTATGTTATTAATGAGTCATCTTTACTTTTTTAAAGTAGTTTTAGACAAGTACATATATATTTTTTTAAAGTAATTTTAAAAAAATAATTTTATATTAAGTCACTTGTAAAGTCATTACTTTAATAATAATATATTTTATTAGGTCACTATTTCTTTACTTTTTGTTGTATAAATTATGTGTTCATTCTCCCCAAAAAAATCATCTTAAGAAATATAAAAATCCTCTAAAGGAATATAGAAAAACTTTACTTTGTAAGAAATTCCCTTATAAAGTTTGGCTAAAAACTATCATTTTTTGGTAATTTTTCTTCCTTTTATAGCTAAAGTTTCATTATATTCATAATTATTTTATTTATTTCATAGTCAAAATGAGTATACTTTGCAGTTGCTATAATACTATAAATCTTTTGCATAAAAAATTTATAGAATTGTCAAATAGATCATTAATCTACTTACTTAAAAAAAAAAATTACTGTACTAAGATCTTACTGAAATAGGTTATTGTAGTGAAAAATATATCTTCACAAAAATCAGGCTACCAATTCGATGTTAAGCCAAGAGAGCGCCAAAGTTTTAAACACCGGCTAGAATACTTTAATTATATATATGATTTATGGATTGTTTTATATTTGATATTATCTTGTTAGGATAATTGATCCATAGACTGTTGAAATAATATCAGATAGTATCGTTGTTATGATTCTAACATCCGAAGAGCTTAAAATTGAAACCATCAATTATCAGGGTCTTGACACGTATTACTTGTCGCTGTGTAGAAATAATTTATGAATTTTAAAGAGAATTATTAACTATAATGACAATAAAATTTTTTAAGTTTACAAATAAAATTAATAGAAAAACATATATTTATATTAAAAAATTAAGTTAAAAAAATGCATAGTTCTTAAATAAATTTAATTTAGATTACTATATTTTAAAAAATTGTACGGCTATAAATATTTAAAAATATGATTAGAAAATTTTAAATTTCAACTTCTCAAAACATTTTTTAAAAAAATTTTGACTTGATTTATTAAAAATGATAATTAAATAATTTGTTTAATAAAAAATTAAACGAAGCAAATACACATTAAAATGAAAAATATATACAAAGTCAATTATCATCTTTAGTCTCTTGATTTATTGGTTAAAAAATTTTATGAAATATAGAGATCCTCGTTTGAAATTAATTTTTTTTCTCTTACAAAGACTATTTCTTTTCCTGAACTAAATAGAAAAAAAGTCAATTGTAGGGACTTAATTAGTAAAATTTCACTTAATATATGTGTTTGTTAAATTTTTAGAGATTTTTGGGCTCAAAAGACTAAAATAATTGGGATTAAATATAGATTAAAAATTTATAAAAAAAAGTAATATTTTCTCAGCTTAATTAAGTAGATATGGTTTTGTATTAAGGATAAATTAAAAATTTATTAAAAAATAAGAAAAGTAAATCTTGAAGTAAAAAAAAATTGTGATCTGGAAGTGATTTAACCAGTTAAAAATGAACACGTGTAGAAAAGAAAGGCCGAGTGACGGTCAGACCGGAAAGACAGAACAGAACACAAACAATCTCAAACTTAAAAACATTTAAAAACGTAACATCACGACTATCTTGCATTTTCTTTCTCTTCTCATCCCTTTAGCTCAGCCTTTTAGGCTTTATTTTTTTTTTTTATTAATTTCGCTTCATCCCTTGAAATCTCAATCTGTTAACGGCGGCTGCTCCACTTCCTCTTTCTCTTCTTACATAATCTTAAAATCTGTCTCTTTCTCTTTCGGTTTCTTTGAAAGTTTCGATCTAATTAAAGAAAGGATCTTTTCTTTTTGTTTTTTTGGATTTTAATATATTGTTAAAGAACCCGCCATGGTAGCGGCTACACAACAACAACAGCAACAGCAGAAACAGGCTGCGGAGGCGGCGGCGGCGGCGACGGTGTCTGGGGCTACTAAAACATCGGCTGAAGAAGAGGCCTTGAAGAGGAACACAGATTGCGTTTACTTTCTTGCTTCCCCTTTAACCTGCAAAAAGGTTCGGTTTTTTCTTCTTACGGTTTTTTGGGTTTCAAACAAGATCTTGTTCTTTCTGGGATCTTACCATGATACTTTAATTAGGGTTTCTGATTTACCTTTTATTTTCCTCTTTTTGATTGCTCTTTGTTTAGTTGTTTATTTATTTTTTAATGAAAAGTTTTAACTTTATTTGAAGAATGAAAGTTTGTTATTTTTTGAGCTGTTTAAATGTTAGGTCTTGGTATTTTATCCAATTTTCTTAGCGATAAAACCCTTGTGAATTTCATCATACAAATTGGGGAATCTTTCCCTTGATGTTCCTTTTAGATATATACTAAACAAAATGATTGCCTTTACTCCAAAGAGTGTGCTGTTAAATGTGTATTTATTTGCTCAATTATTGCTAGTCTTGGTGCATTGATTTTGTTGCGTGTTGTATTTGATCTGATGCTGTTACAACTTTAAGTTGTTGTAAAAGACAGGGAAACATTGATGTTCCTGTCAGCAAACTCTTAATGAAGGTTAAGAAAAAAGTTTTTGTAGAGTTTAATGTTGCCATCGCAATGCATTTAGGTTGTCATTTAGTATGTTTGGCTGCATAATCTCTATTACTGTCAGTCCCAGACTGTTGCTGTTGTCTTCTGATTGCAATTTTGCTTTTAGTATTTGTTGTTTGTTTGCATTAGTTGTGAATTTCTTTTCTAGAAATTGGTTTTTTCATTTGTGAAATTGCTTTGTTAATCAGTCTTCATCAACTGCATTGGCAAGACTTACATGAATTTTCTTTGGTAAGATCAGAAAAAATTATTTTGAAAATAAAAACTTATAGATTGATAGAGTTCAATAAGAAGATCAATAGTATGCAAAAACAATTATTAAAAATATAGTTTATAATCAAAGTTTGATTGGTACTTATTCAACTGTGAATATTATGTCAAAACTTACAGTAAAAATATATCAAAATTTATTAATTTTTTTAAAAATTTTGTACATTTGATCTATATAATAAGACCTTTCAATGTATCAGTTTGAATTTTCAATTTTAGTTTTTATGTGACCGTTCTTAATAGAGAACTTCATGAACTCACCTAAAAAACTTCATCTAAGTCTTGCTCCATTTTGTTTCTAAGAACCAATTATTTTAGGTGGAATAAAGTCGTGTTATGGACTTATGGTTACTTCATACATTGTAAAATGCTGTGGGCGTATTGGATGCATTGTTATGCGCTTTTTCGTCATCAATGGTTGTTGAATTCTGTAACTAATATTCCTTTTCTCTTTTCCATGCCAATAGGGAAGTGAATGTGAGTATCGTCATAGTGAATATGCCCGGGTTAACCCAAGGGATTGTTATTACTGGTTGAATGGTAGTTGCCTGAACCCGAAATGTGGATTTCGGCACCCTGTAAGTTTCTTCTTCTCTTTTGTACCAACAGCATCATTTCTGTGCTATGCTTGTTTTACTGGTTTTTCTAGGGAGTTTTATTTCTTGCCCATTACGAGTTTTGAAAGTGAAGTTTGAATAATTGTGGACAATCAAATTAGGATATTTGCTAAGAATTTTTTCATGCTGTTGGTAACAAATAGCTGTAGTTGTATACTAATAATAAAGCCATTGATTGAGTTTGGTGTCACAAGTCACTTAGTGAATTGACAAAAAAGGAAAACAAATCATAAAATGAAAATGTATCAATAAGATCATATTTGTTATTACTTATCCTTGAAAGTTATGGTTGGAGTCCATACAATTGAACCCTCATATATGTCTACTCTTTCTCTACTAAAAAAAATTATGTGCAGTTATTCCTACTTCTTTCTTTTACATTTTAAGATAACCATAAATTCTTTATTTTTTATTCTTGTAATATTTATTTTAATAATCAAGTTATTTATTTATTTATTTCACCCATGTAGTGGGTGTGTATTAGACTAGTTGTGTTAACGTTCTCTGTTATTCTCATGTTGTCTTTTCAGCCGCTTGATAGCTTGTTGGGAACCCAAGTAGCCGCTCCAGCTGGTTCTTCATTGCACACAGCAGCCACACCAACACCTGCTAGTCATACACCTTACAGCCAGGGTGCCTCTCATAGTTCCAGCACCAGCAAACAAGGAGTGCCATGTATTTTCTTCCAAAAGGGGCTTTGCTTAAAAGGTGACAAATGTGCTTTTTTGCACGGTCCAACTACAAGTAATGAAGCCCCACAACCAGCAACAACTACTACTGCTTCTAAGCCTCATTCTTTGAAAAGGGGTTTTGGTGCCCTTGAAACATCTCAGTTGCAGAAGTTTCCCCCAACTAATGTTGCAAAGACGGTTGGAGTACCTCAACGTAAACCTGCTCCAAAAGTTGAAGCTCCTCTTGCTAGGACTGGTACTGGACCTGAGAGAAGTGTGCCACGTCTGGCAGGCTTGGATGAGGAACTTCCTAGACACAAAGTAAATACTACCTCAGTTATTAATGGTGGTTCTGTGGGCAGTTCCCATCGCTTGCATCAGGCCCATGCTTCAGATGAACTGAGTTTTCATGGTGGTAAGGACACTGATGAATTTTTGAGGGAGTCTTCTCCTGGTTTTGATGTTCTTGTAGATGATGAGCTCAGAGATTCTGATTTTTACCATGGTGAAGATCAATATGGAGGTACGAGAGGACAGGAGGGGAGGAATGTGAGTGAATATGACATCAGTCACTCTGCTACTTTTGATGCCATGACTGATGTTGATAGAGAAAGGTTTCATGATGCACGAGGCTGTGATTCATTTGACCATGTGCAAGGGAATTATGGTTGGGACCAACAGAGGGCTTCATCTGAGAGGATATCTTTAGGACCATCTGCTCTGGAGACAAGGGGTTACTCAAGAGCTGGTAATCCTGATCATATTGAGGAGTCAGATCTACGACATCGTTTATCTAAGCGTAGGAGGGTTAGTGGTGTGAGATCTGTTCTCAGTCGTGATCATGCTCTAGAAAATCATGAAGGGGAGCGAAATTACCAGGGTTCTCGTAGAGACTCTGACCATTTACCTCCCCATGAGAGTTCCTTCAGCAGTCATCTTCAGGGTAGAATAAAGCTTCCTGGGAGATCTCTAGTCAATGGGACTGATTTGCGTTCTGAAATAGAGATAGAAAGGGGGCAAAATTGGGGCCACCTCTCACCGGGAAAGCCACAAACCTATTCTCACCAGGGGAGGCTCCGTGACAGAATAAAAGGAAGGATAGAAGGGGAATTCAACAATAAAGAAGGTCAAAATTTTGGGGTTTCGAGGATTAGAAGAGAAGTAATGGATGAGAGGAATGCTGATTTTGCAGGTCCAAAAAGTCTTGCAGAGCTGAAAGTTGGGAAGAATACTGGTAATAGGGAGCACCAGTCTCTTGGAAATCGAAAGAGCATAGGGGATTATCAACAAACTGAAGGTGATCTTTCATTCAAAGGGCCAATGACTCTAAGTGAGATTCTGAAGAGAAAGAGGCAATCTGAAGCTGCAGCTTCTGGGAGTGGTATAGCAGCTGTAAATAAAGATGTTAACCAGAAACAATCTACTAACACAGTAGTATCAGCAGCACCGGAAGAGGCCAACATAAAGGAAGAATCCAAGTCCACAACTGCAGGCATTGAAACAACAGAAGTTACTAATGGTGAATCTTCTCAACTGTGCAACATAAGTGAACATGAGGCTGACAATGGGATCATTGCTGATGAGACAATGGAAGATCATGAGCTTGGGGCAGATGACCAGAGGGATGCAGATTATTATTATCAGGGTGATGAAGGGGAATATAACTATGAGGAGGATGAAAATGTGGACCCTGAAGAGGAATACAATGAGGAGGAAGATGGTGATGACTTTGCAAAGAAGCTCGGTGTCATCTTTTCATGAGTAGTGGGGAGATGAGATAGTCATATAGACTAGTTGCAGCTTTTCCCTATGATTATTGTGGTTTTGTGGAGGGCCTTCGAAGCTTATTTATGTTGCTTCTTTCTGATCAATTATGGGAATTTCAATGTAGAAGTAGGGACAGTAAGTTTTATTCTTGAATTAAATCAAAACTTTCTCATAGTATTTAAAAACTGATTGAATAGGGATTCTTCTTATGCCTGAGGCCTTTTCTTGTGCCCACTAGTTGAAGTTGATTATGAAGTGCATGACTGGAAAAGTAGAAAGGGAAGAAGAAATATTTTTAGTCTCCAATTCTCTATTTTATAATCTACTATAGCTTTTCCCTGTGGCCTTCCTGATCATAGAATCTCTCTCTCTTTTTTTTTTTTAATTAATAACGTAACAAAGCGCAATATCACATAACAATAAAAACCACTTTGTTTGGGTAGGAGTGGGCCAAGTCGCCAAGACACCGGAAGCCCAAAATCTCTTCAGCAATAGGCTATGGCGTACAGCGAACAGCGTACAGCCTACAGTCAATACCCCATAAATCAAGAGCTTCTGCTTCACTGTTAAACCCTAAACAAAACCAAGTAAACATCATTTATTTATCAGTTCTCAATAATATACACATTTGTTCAAAAATGCAATCTCAGCTTCGAGAATGAAGCTTATCTCCGCAAGTTTCTTCACCACAATGCTTCTATCTCTCCGCAGTCTCTTCCACATCAACCACAGAATCCCTGTCAGAGTAAGACACCCTTTTCCTCTCTTTCAAATCCCTCATCACCTCAACTTTTCTCCGCCATCCAATAAGTCTCTTATTGTTTTCCCTTTTTTTTATTCACTAGTTTCTTCAACATGATAAAGTTTCCGTTTGGGACCAAGTCTAATTGTAGTACCATCATATTTTTAGATGATTTCAATAGGGAATCCATTTGTAAAATCATTCGACTAGACCGATGGAATGACCCAAAGCTTGTAAAGTTGTTTAACTCAAGCTTGGCACCCATTTGGGTATCTAAGATTTTGGTTGGTTTAAAACAGGACCCTCAATTGGCATTGAAATTCTTCAAATGGGCGAAAACTCAGAGAGGGTTTAGCCATACAAGTGAGTCTTATTGTATATTAGTGCACATTTTGTTTTATGGTAGAATGTATTTTCATGCTAGTGGTATTCTTAAGGAATTAATTTTTTCAAGACGAGGGGTAGTGTTGCCGGATAGTGATTTTTTTTTATGTTTTGTGGTCTACAAGGAATGTTTGTGGATATGGGTTTGGGGTGTTTGATGCTTTGTTTAGTGTTTTGGTTGATCTCGGAATGCTCGAGGAGGCTAGCCAATGCTTTTCAAAAATGAAGAGGTATAGAGTTTTGCCTAAAGTTCGATCTTGTAATGGTCTTTTACATAGGCTTTCTAAGTCAGGAAGTAGGGACCAATCTAGGAGGCTTTTGGAGGAAATGATTGGTACTGGTGTTGCTCCCTCAGTGTTTACATACAATATAGTGATAGATTATATGTGCAAAGAAGGGGAATTGGACACTGCAAGAATGTTATTTTGACAAATGAAACAGCTTGGCCTAACACCGGATGTTGTCACATATAACTCCCTAATTGATGGATATGGAAAGGTAGGATTATTGAATGAAGTGATTTTCTTATTTGAAGAGATGAAGAATGTAGGGTGTGAGCCTGATGTGATTACATAAAATTCCTTAATAAACTGCTTTTGTAAATTTCAGAGGATGCTTCAGGCTTTTGAGTTTTTTCATGAAATGAGGAATAAGGGGTTGAAACCAAATGTTGTAACTTATAGCACTTTAATTGATGCTTTTTGCAAGGAAGGGATGATGCAACAAGGGATTAAATTCTTAGTTGATATGAGGCAGCTTGGTCTTTTACCCAATGAGTTCACTTATACTTCTTTAATTGATGCAAATTGTAAATCGGGTAATCTAACTGAAGCACTGAAGCTGGCTAATGAGATGTTGCAGGCAAATATTGCCTTGAACATTGTTACATATGCAACTATAGTTGATGATCTTTGTGAAGCAGGGCGAACAAAGGAAGCAGAGGAAATTTTTAGGGCAGTGCTGAAAGCTGGATTAATGCCTAATGTGCAAATTTATACTACCCTTGCTCATGGCTATATGAAAGTTAAGAAGATGGAGCATGCCTTGAATCTTTTGAAAGAAATGAAGGAGAAAAGCATTAAACCTGATCTGTTGTTGTATGGAACTATCATTTGGGGCCTCTGCAATGAGGATAAGATAGAAGAAACTAAACTTGTCATGAGTGAAATGAAGGAATCTGGACTGAGTCCAAATCCTGTCATATACACTACAGTTATGGAATCTTATTTTAAGGTGGGCAAAATCACTGAGGCACTGAATCTGCTAGAACAAATGTGGGACCTTGGAATTGAAGTTACAGTTGTGACTTTTTGTGTCTTGGTTGACGGTTTGTACAAAACAGGATTGGTTCTTGAGGCAATTAATTATTTCAATAGAATGCCAGAGTTCAATTTGCAACCTAATGTCGCAGTTTATACGGTATTGATTGATGGCCTCTGTAAAAATAATTTCATTGAAGCAGCCAAAAATATGTTTGATGAAATGCTAAGCAAAAATATTGTTCCAGATAAAACTGCTTACACTGCTTTGATAGATGGAAATTTAAATCATGGAAAATTTCAGGAAGCTTTGAATCTGCGGAATGAAATGATTGAGTTGGGCATAGAGCTTGATTTGCCAGCTTATACTTCCCTGGTTTGGGGAATTTGCCAATATGGTCAGTTACAGCAAGCGAGCAAATTTCTGGATGAGATGATGAGGAAGCATATCGTTCCTGATGAGATTCTTTGCATTAGTGTATTAAGGAAGTACTATGAGCTAGGACATGTTGGTGAAGCCATTGAGTTGCAAAATGAAATGGCTAAGAGGGGTTTAATTACTAGCCCCATCGATCATGCTGTTCCAAGTGTACAAACTAAGGTCTAATTGTTTGGTTATCCATAATTTATTCAAGCTGTGTAGAAAACTTGAATCAGTGGACAGGGATGTACCATCATAATGAATAAGAACCTGAGGTATTTCTGGTCGTGAGGATGCAAACATATTTAAGCAGGTTCACTGATAAAGGATCCTTCCAGAGATCATTTTTAGTGATGCAAAACCTGCGACCAGAAGAGGTTTCATTTTCGAGTCAAATGAGCTTTTGATGCATCATACTTGCCCAGATCAAATCTTCTATCCATTGATGGTGACTGGTGAGTGATAGTCACAACTGAAAATTTTGGTTTCTTTCAATATGTGAAAAACACTGGGAAATGTGGATCTTATGAATGTATAGTTTCTATAGGATGAAATTACAGTATAAGACCATCTAGAAAAAAAATGACAGAACAAGATCTGTTTCCCATACTCATATATTTGCTTTTATTTCTTATATTACTATGAAACATTGAAAGTGATGGGTTTGTCCTTGCTTGGATGATTTAAAAGGTTGTGCTTAGAGTTCTAATATGTAAAAACAACTAAACATTTAAAAGAAAAGAATTAAAAACAGCTAACATCAAATTATGGCGGCTTGACAATAGATCCTCTCCTGGTGATTTGGATTTTGATCTTTATATATGTACTTATGGTTGTTTACCTTCAGGCTCCAACAGTTGCTTTGCACCAACAATAGCCATGGTTATTGAAGTTCTCCGTTTCTTTTTCGTCATGAGCAAACATCTATGTGCCAAAGCTCTCTGTCAGGAATAGTTTTTCAAAATAAAATTTTGTGCTTATTTATAAACTATTCAACACTACTCGAGATATGAATTCTAGCCATTGATTTCTTGGCACCACGAGAGACTCTCTGTGTCACTTTAGCTGGTTCTAATAAAATATTATTCAGGAGATTGTCCCAAAATCCGTCCTTGCTGTATCCAATAATACATGCCTTATGTTATTCAAATATATATTTATGTGCTGCACATATCAATTCAATAGTGTTTCCTTTGTATTAATAGATTTCAAGCCTGGAAGGTGACATGGAAGTCAGACGATTTCAGCTGAGAAGTAGGTTTTGACAAAGGAAGAAACTAATGCTTTACAAGCTTTCATTGATAACTATGCTTCTTTACGTGATTGGTATCTTTTCTCTGACAAAGACCATATATTCATGCAAATGAATGAGAGGGTAAACAGTTTTCTTTTAACATGTTTTCGCCAATACTTATATGTTTTTTATTTATAATATGCTTATATGACATTCAACAAATACAATAATATCCATGGTTACAATGTGCACTCTCCTGACAGAGAGCTCCTAGTCTGTGTTTACATGCAAGAGCCTTTTCTGAAAATTTCTTCTATCTTATGTCGAACTGTAAGTAAATTGAGTAGAGTTTGTTGTTCTCCCCTTTATCGTCAGTTATGACATCTGTTTTCTTCATTAGCTATCAGAGTTGCTTTTCAGTTGACCTTTATCATGCTAGCTACGATTGGTTTCATTTTCTTGAGTTGTTCTTATTGACGTCAGCATACAGTGTTGTAGTCTGTTTGTCAGTGCAGATTTCAGGGTCGCATAGGCATGTGGCTGATACCCACTCTAGATTTCAGGGCCTTCTGCTTTGCCTTTGAGCCATTGAGGAGCACATGTTAAACCACCTAACATGATTTTATCAAAGTTTGGAAATTCTTTTGATCTTTATTTTTTAAATTGTTATGTAAAAAATACTTTTAAGTTTACAAGTATTTCATTCTTGAGTTTGGGGTTTCAAAACTAAAAATTTCAAGTTTAGAAGTCACATTATTCAGCATAAGAATATTTGATTCAAATGTTAAGTATATAGATCTCTAATATTCGAATTTGACAAAAAAAAATTCATACTTGTTATATTAACACGAATTATGATATGCTTTTTTTTACGCGAAATAGATATGACGCGGATACAAATTATATGTAAAATAGAATAAGTATAATTAGGTTATTATGTATTTTACGGTTAATAAAGTAGTAATAAGAGAAATAAATTTGGTTTTGAAGAAAAAGGATATAACAATACGGGTATCGAAACGACAGCGTCGGGAGCTAAATGCCCAAAAGTTTGTTTATAAATGAAAAAAGAGTCAAACCCTAGTGGTTTGGTAGGAGGTGTGGAAAAGAGAGCGAGGTTTGGGTTTCAGGTATGGTTTCAGCTTTTTTTTTTTTTTTCTCCCTTCAGTTTTATTCTGCAAGTAGCCGTTAATACCTAAATTTGGTCTTCCCTCCCTCTCGCAGTCCAACCAGTAAAAAGAAAGAACCCAAAGCTTGCTAAAACCATGGCTTCTCCTCTAACACTCACTCTTTGTCTTTATCTTTCTCTTTCGCAGCCCAAAACAACGAAACGAAAGAAGAAATTGCTGAATTATAAAGGATGGGGAGTCGGCTTCCAGTCCAACATTACAATAATTCCTTCATCGCCACCTCTCTTCACGATCTCAATACCGTTGATTCTCGCCCTTCTGAAATCGACGCCGTTGATGCTGCTGATGCCTTGGATCACCATGATCACGATCACCGCGATTCCACTACCGTTGTCAGCATACTATAATGTTTTATTTCCTTTCCCTTTTTTTTTTGTTTTTGAAATTTTTATGAAAATTTCGAATATTTGTCTGTTCCAGGAGTGTATGCATGAATCTTATAGTAATTCTTTGCCAATTCACGGCGTTGGAGCGGAGGAAGAAGATCGGTCTAGCTTAGACAATAACGACTCTTCCAGAGGTGCTTTCAGTATTTTGACTATCGAAGGTAAATAGAAAAAAAAAAACCTGATTTAATTGTATAGAGTTCTCTTAATTCTTGTTTTTGTGTCGCTTTTCATTTATCTGTTTTTTGCTTCCTGAAAAATTGCTATAAGTAACGCAATTGACTAAAATGCGGTACTAATTCTGACATAATTGTTCTATATAAAAGCAAAATCATGCTTTTTATTTATATATTTATTGAGATTATGTTCTAGAATTTTAATTCTTTAAAGTTTTTTTTTTTTTAATTCAAATGCAGTTTTTGCTTTTTTTTTTTGGAAGCAAAAAGTGAGTAGTAACTAGTAAGAGTAAAAAAGCAAACTGTTTCTACCTTTGAAATTGATTATAAAATTCTGTGAATGGGAATTGACTTTTTTTCCAATGTTGAATTTTATTAAAACACAGATGTCTCACCTATCGAGTCAGTGAGGGCAAGATTTTTGCAAATCATAGTGGATCATTTTATTAATGACCATGTTATTGAAGCGGTTGATAATGAGTCACCTGCTGACTATAATGCTCAGTCAGGACAAGACAAACACAGCAAGAGAAAGACAAGAGATGTACAATATGAAGGTGATCCCAATTTCGCTTTGCCCTTAATGTATGTTGCCAATTTGTATGAAACTTTAGTTCATGATGTAAACTTGAGGATTGCTTCCTTGAATGGCATTCGCGATAAGACCATTGGAGTAGCCCTTGAAGCTGCTGGTGGTTTGTACAGAAGCTTGGCTAAAAAATTTCCTAAAAAAGGTAGTGTTCTCTTTTCCTCAACATTACAAGTATAAGGTCTTATTATGTTTTCTTGAAAATTAATGTGGCCCCTTTAATTGATTATAGGTTCTTATATGTATAAAAGGAGAGAACTTGCAACTTCTCATGAAACAAGGACAAGATTTCCAGAATTAGTTATACAAGAAGAAAAGCGAGTTCGTTTTGTGGTAGTCAATGGTTTGGATATTGTTGAGAGACCAAATAATGTGCCTATTGAAGATGCCGAGTGGTCAGTTCTTCCTTTGGGCTTTTATTTTCTTTGCATGTGATTTTCTGTCTTGATCTTTTAGCAGCATGGCTTTTTTTTTTTGAATAGTTTATCAGTGCCTTGTGTCTACTATTTCTTATTCATTTGGCTGGTTAATCCTCCCCAAGGAGCACACACTTTGCTTCTTGGAGAGGTTGCATAAAAATCAACCTATTGCTTTCCGTGTAATCAAAATTCAAAAGTTAGCTGGATTTCTCAATGACATGAGTCACTTCGCTGTAAGGCAGAAATTTATCTTAACACAGATGGGAGCCCCTCTATTCTGCACTACCTCAGGCATTTGGGCGAGTAACTAATTATGTTGATTTTGGGCCTGCTAGCTTTTGGTTGAATATCTGGATCTTCTAGGTGTATGTGTCACTTTGTTTGCTTACTCTTTGGATACCATGTTTTCTTTATGCATAGTTTATTCTTAGTGCATCATTTTCCTCTTCCTTTCCCAACATAGGCTTTTATCTTTTGCTTCTGCAGTTCTGCTATGTTGTTCTTATATTCTCAATTTCATGAGGGGAGTATTCATGTTGTTTGCTTGTTCTATTGGCACCTGGCCATATACCAAGTATCTTTATATATGGTTTCATTTCATGCACCACTGTTTTCCCTTCCTTTTTCATCAAGGTTTTTACCTTTTAGCTTGGCTGGAGAATCATTATCGTTATTTTTTAATATATTAGGGAAGTAATCACCTTGTTTGCTTGTTCTGTTGGCACCTGGCTGCTAAAGTATCTTTATGTATGATTCTGTTTCATGAACCAATGTTTCCCTTTCTTTGCCATTTTTGAGGCTATAACTTTTGCTTTGTTGCAGTTTTGCCAAGTATTGTTACAACTTGATTATATAAGGGAGTTGTTAACTTTTTGGCTGTTATAAGCGTTGTGTACTGCGTTATTTTCTTCTTAGTCTTTATTTTCTTAGAAACAAGTTAGTTTTTTAGTTTTTCCTATTTGGAGAAATAGTTATTTCTTTCCAATGCATTATAGTTTATTCTATACACTTAACTACTGACAAGCAACAACATTTGGACTTCCAGGATTTTGAGAGACATTTTTTCGATATGCTTTCCTCTTGCTGACTAGGTTTCTATTTGCTGAAGGTTTAAAAGACTAACTGGTCGGAATGAGTTTGCTATCTCTGCTCAAGACTACAAGTTTTATTCTCCAAGGCATAAGTACAGGCGTGTTCCATCAAACACGGTATCCAACATCTCTGCTTTACCTGTAAGCTCTGTACCCTCTTCTCCAACTTGATTCTGAATATTTGAAGTATAAGTTTGGATGTTTTATGTAAATCTAATTTTCAATTTGCCTTAGAACTCATTAACATTTACGAGTATAGATCCATCTTATGAAGTATGACATAGGACCACTAAATACATACTATAATGATGCATTATCTATTTGAGGATTACATGTAATGTTATGGGTTTTATTCCCTCTCTCCATCTCTTATTGTAAGTTAAATTTCTTTTTGTTTGCCCCATGATGGATTGCTTCAGAAGATTGTATATGAAATATAATAAAGCACTAAGCATTCGATTACTATAACCTTACCAACTAAAGTTGAATGTAGAGATATATTGTTGTAATGTTTTATATGTTTGCAGACATTCTCTGGCACTGATAGTTCTTCTCCAATGCCTAATGCTCAAGGGTTTCACACAGTCAATGAAGTAAGAGCTCCCTTGTGAAATGCATATAAGCTCTTTCCTGGAGTTTCTATTTAGGCTTTCTGTTCTTGGACTTTTATTTTCTTTGAATTGAGACATTCAGTTAGTATTAAATATGTTAATCGGTTTTATAAGTACTAGAATCTAAAAAGAAGAGTGTATTGAGCCTAATGTTCAAGGATCAGAATGACTAGGAGATAACACTATTTCAGAGACATGTTTGTAGTGAGTTGAAAACCTAGACATCCTAAACAACAGTCTAGAGAAGAATTTGTATATGAATTCTGGATCTTTCCACGGATTCTAGCATTTGAAGAAAAGTGGGATTGCAAGTTAAATCCAAATATCCTATTTTAGGGAATTGAACCTCTTATAAATATACTCAAGCTGATTTTGGGGATAATTATTTTAAAAGACTATGTTTGCAGCAAGTTGTATTTGTATCTGGTTTTGCTAAACTGTTGCAATTATTGCAGAATCAGCAGCAGACTCCTTCCAAGCATCATATACCACCAATGTCACATCAGCCTCAGTTTCATCCTATTCACCAAAACCATCACCAACCAGTTCACCAAAATCAACACGCAGCTCATTTTCCCCAGAATCATCAATGTGGGCCACCATCACACTTACCTGAAATTAATCATGCTCACCAGTCACCAACCATGTCTCAACACATAGCTTGCTTACAACCCCTAGCAGGAGGTCATGTTGGAGCACGCTTGCATGTTATGGTGAGGGTTTTATTTTTATGTGTACAAGTCTCTTCCTATGCATGAATTTACTCATTTTTCAGTGGCTATCATGTTGTTCTAATTTCTTATTTAAATTGTTTTCATCTTGCTGCTCTAGCACACAGAATAAGAGATGACTTTAAGAGGGAGAGGACAGAGAACATAAAATAGAACACGTAAAGCTTGTAATTAGAAAAATAGCATTATCACTATTGTGCTGAAATTCTTCTGAAGACCAGTAATTTATTCAATTTCCAATTTATGTTGTGGAAATTGATGGTACCACAGCCATACGATAATCTTGCTGTACAAATTAATCTCAAGAATGGTACAGAATTTAGTTCTAGCTCATAAACTTGTGTATGATCTAGATGTCTTCATTGAGTTGCTGCCATGATCAAATCTAGAAATAGTTATTAATGCATGTTTTAAATGACTCCAATTCTTCAAAAGAAAATTTCTGCTCTGAACTAAATTAGGGATGATTGCACTGTGTTTGTTTGGTTTACTTTTGCATGCTTTAATTTGTCATTGTAAAGGCATAATAAAGGAATGTTTATGCTTCTTGTTAACATAAAAGTCCATACTGACCTCCTTTGAAATGCTTACAATTTCAGCCAACAAGTCCAGCGAAATTCTGTGATGAATGTGGGGCACCATATGTAAGGGAAACATCCAAGTTCTGCTCAGAATGTGGCATGAAGAGGTTAGGGATATGACTCAAAGTCATAGTGATGTTCTTTTTTATTTGGAGAAGAGGGAACTCAAACTCGTTCTTTGAGCAGACAGAAGGCTCATGCAGCTCAGGTGATGTTCTTTGATTGTACTGTCTGATTTTGAATATGGGTTGTCCCCTTTTCTTTTAGGTGATGACATAGGTTTGGTTTTCCATTGTTTTGTTATCCCTTGCTTTCAACACACCTATCACCATCATCATCACCATTCAAATATGTAAAATTCATAATCTACTATTTGTCTTTTTTAAATTCTTAATCTACTATTTATCCTTTTATCTTTTGTTTATTTGATTTATTTCAATAAAACATACACAACTTTTAAAAATCTATTTGGCATACATATCCTCTAAATTAAATGTGAAGAATTATTACTAATATTAGAGAGAACAAAATAAATTAAGAAAAAAGGGTTTGGGCTTCTTCAGCAAATCCTGATTCCATTCCCATTTCTAATCCTAACACCAATAACCAACCCTTCACTCAAAAGCTCCAATCCTTTGCCAAAACATCTAGAAGCCATTGAGGCATTGAAGTCCCTTTTACAACAGAAGCTCAAAAATGGCGAAGATGAAGAAGCTCTTACTATCTTGAAACTTTTGGTTTCTACTCAACCACAGGTAACGGATTGGAAATTCATGATAGCAAGTTTATCGACTGAAATGGGTCAAACGGAGAATGCACGGACAGTGTTCGAGGAAATTCTTCAGTCAAATCCGCTCTCATTTGACGCTTTGTTTGAGAATGCGCTGTTAATGTACGGTTGTGGGGAAGGAAAAGCAGTGAAGGGTCCAATCATAAAACAACGTTTAGTCTACCACACTGCAAAATGGTGTATAAGGGAGCTTTCTGACTTTCATTAGCAATAGAATTAAAAATCTATCAAGATTTGTAGAGCGCGAGATAGCAGTTATATGCACATTGAGCAGTTTGCTACAAACCCATTTCACACTATACATTCCACCGCAAGTTAAAATAACTAAAGCCAATGAAGTCTTGGCTTAGTGGCAAAAAAAAAAGGTCCTAAAATTCTGATATTTTAAGTTTTGTTGTGGATAGATTTGATTGGTTAAATGTGTTTTAATTTATTAGTTAATTATTTAATGATATATTATGTAATGGATGTAAAACTTTATTATGATTATGATTGTAATTTTTTTTTGTACTTATAATTTCCAAAAATAAAATAAAAAGATGCATAGGTTTATAAAATAAGAATAGATGTGATTTCAAGTCATAGCACAAGTTCTATCATAACCGTCAGAAAGTAAAGGCCTATGCTATAAGCAAAGTATGTTATATACAAACACCGTGAATTGACAGTAGCTTCTGTAGCTGGCTTCTCACAGCTCTTACCACATTCCTCAGCCTTACTGCTACTCTCTTCCACATCACGTTGGCTACCAGATTCATCAGATATAAGATTTGCATATCTTGCTGCAAGAATAGCTGCTGCAGAAAAGGCTTCAGTGTAGACCATGTTGAATGCAGCTCCTTGCAAAGGGATCTAATCATTGAAAGGCTGCTTTCAAGTTTCAGCTCACTGAAAAAATCGCAGAGACTCAACTTCAAAGGAAATAAGGTGCAAAAATCTTTTGGTGTAAAAATGTAATCTTTCAACTATATATCGGTAAGGCAATGTATGAAACTGGCCTGGGTTCCAAAGTTGCTTCATTTCATTGAGAATGCTGATTGCTTCCCTTGAAAAGCAGCCGTCTTCACTACGTGCAGGTTTCTTCTGCAAACATCCTTCTTTTGCAGCATTTGAAAATAACATTGAATACTTGCAACATATATAAATTACGACAAGGAAAACAACTAGGCATCTGAAAATGCTTATCTAATAATCATCACTATAGAATCTAGATTAGAACCGAACTGATAAGCTTCATTAAATTGTACAAATTAAAACAAAAAAGCTTGCTCAGAAGAGATAATAGTACTGTCGCAATATAGGGAGATTAATTCAGAAATTGTTTACTCAATGCATCACAGTACAACTATCAATGTAGGAAAGAAAGCATTACAAATTTACACTTGAAAGAATAAGAGAAAAGACATAAAGAGAGAAGTCCACATAAGACAAACGTCTCCAATTTAGGGACATGAAGTGAATTTCTAAATTGTAACAATTTTAGTTTTCATATCGGGGCTGCAGGTGAGATGCATAAACTAGTTGACAGCGCTGCAAAGCCTCCTTATTATCCCAGCTGAACTAGTTAGTGGTTCGGTATCTCCCATTTTGATCATGGCAGATGCGAAATCAGAACTGAAAGTTGAATGGTTCCTGCTATACTCGGTGACTATGTTATCTGTGGATCCACCGCTAAACAAGACTTGATCCGACTGGATAAGACGTTTCTTTTGCAACAGGTTTTTGAAGTAGTTGTTGTCAAAGGAATTAGGAGTCACCAGGTCAAGCGGTGCCAAATTTCCATTACCGTTGGGATTAGTAGCTGGACAATTGCGTCTACGTGTGCTAGCAAATCCAGCGTCGATGTCACTTCTATTGCTGTATATCCTATCTCTGAATGTAACGCATTGAGCTTGTCCTCGGGGAATCAAATAACGGTTCAATAGCGAAATAGCAACCGTAAAATTACAGTAATACCACCACCCATTATCGTTATTAGAGGAAATATGATTGAAAAATTTATTCACAGTCAAAACAGTATATAACGGTCGTAAAAAAATGATGTAACAAGAAATAGCGATAATAACGGATTATTATTATCACTATTCTCATTTTTTCACTCAGGATCAACAATTTATGTTATAAGAAAAAAATTTTTCAATATTATCATAATAAAGTAATAAGCCTGCAAAAGTAAAAATAAAAGTAAAAGCAAAAACAAAAGTAAAAAATAAAACTCAGAACCTCATGTTTTCAGTATCAAAATTAATCTCAAAACAAGTTAGAAATAAGACAAATTATTTATTAACCATTCAATCGGCACTTCGACAACAATCCTAGCTCAATTCGTAAATTATCCAAATTCAAATTACTTTCAAGTTCTCAATCAATAATCAAAATCAAAGAAGGTAAGAAGAAAAAGTTAAATTATCTTTTTTTTTTTGTAAAATTTTTGTAAAATCATGTTTGTCTTGTGAGAGTTTGAAAGAGACGAACAAAGTATTCTGTAGGCATTAGGCAAGTGATAGTGATGAGGGAATGCGAGAGAAAGTGAGAGATGAAAAAAAAAAAAGAAGAGAAGAAGAAGATTCTTGAGGGCCAAACTCCGAGAGCATGAAGAAGACGAACAAAAGAGAGCAAGCTGGGTGCCTGGGTCTGTTGGGATCAAGCAAAATTGGGAGATATTTAGGGCACGTGAGTGGATGGGAGATTGGGTGGGGTAGGGTGGGATAGAGTGGGAGGTGGGGGTGGCGGTGGATGAATTTTTTATTTAATTTTGTAATTAATGTTTAAAAATTTTTTAGATAAAATTTAATTAGAGGTTTTAAAAATTTATAATTAATAATGTAATATAATATATATAGAGATTTTAGATGAAAAATTTTGATAAATTTTTTTGAATAAGTTAGATGAAAAATAATTAAAATTAAATATTATATTTTAATTTTGTTATATATTTATTTATGATTTTGTATTTGAAATTTAATAAATTTTTTGTTGTTTTGGTATTTATATTATTGTCAATTTTTTTGATATTAGATTAATTCTTATTATTTTTGTGTAATTATTGAAGATTCTATTTATTATATAATTGTTGAAAGTAATTTGTGATTAAAAAATTATATTAATTAGTGTATTAAAAAGATTAAGTTATTTAATAAATTTAGTGTTTTATGATCTATTACTCTTATTAAGATTAAAAGCCAAAAATTTTAAAAAAAATAAGTTTGAAAATTTTATTAAAATATAAGTTTGAAAATTTTTTAGATAAAATCTAATTAGAGGGATTGAAGATTTATAATTAAAAAAAATTAAGGGATTCTATTTATTATATAATTATTGAAAGTACTTTGTGATTAAAAAATTATATTAATTAGTGTATTAAAAAGATTAACTTATTTAATAAATTTAGTGTTTTATGATCTATTACACTTATTAAGATTAAAAACTAAAAATTAAAAAAAAAAGTTTGAAAATTTTATTAAAGTATAAGTTTGAAATTTTTAATTTTTGAAAATTTTTTAGATAAAATCTAATTAGAGGGATTGAAGATTTATAATTAAAAAAAAATTAAGGGATTAATAATTTAATATGATATATATAGAGATTTTAGATGAAAAATTTTGATAATTTTTTTTGTATAAATTAGATGAAAATTAATTAAAATTAAATATTATATTTTGATTGTGTTATATATTAATTTATAATTTTGTATATGAAATTTAATAATTTTTTTGTTGTTTTGGTATTTGTATTGTTGTCAATTCTTTTGATATTAGATTAATTCTTATTATTTTTGTGTAATTATTAAAGATTGTATTTATTATATAATTATTAAAAGTTATTTGTGATAAAAATTTATATCAACTAGTGTATCAAAAAGATTAAGTTACTTAGTAAATTTAACGTTTTATGATCTATTACCCTTAAGATTAAAAACTAAAAATTAAAAAATTTAGCGTAAATTTCAATTTTTAATGATGCAATAAGTAATATTAATATTTTTAAATATAAATTTTTTTGTTTTTATACAAAATAACAAGTATGCCGTTACATGAAGAATTCCCGAGTAAAGAGTAGAAGTCACGCCAAGTAATGATATATGTTGGCATTTTGGAACACCTGTGCTAAATACAAAAAGAAATGTTTCATGTAAATTTTGTGATAAAGTTGTAAAAAGAAGAATAACATATTTCAAGAAACACATTACTTACAAAATTGACAATGTTGCACCATGCCCTAATGTTATTAATACGTTATGTTTTTATAATTCTTTTGAAAATATTATTGTTAATTTCTCAATAAAAAATTATAAAATTACATAAGTATGTGCAACTAATTTTATCTTTTTTTTAACTATATTATTAATAGATATAGTAAGAAAAAGTATGATGAAACTCCTCCAAGAAAGTAAATAAAAAAAAAAACTGACAACAAAAGGAGAAAAAATCATTTTTTATCACAGTTAAGAGGGGAAGATGATTATGAAGGATTTATTGATGAAGACATCGCTACTAGATAAATCATATGAGATAGTATCCAATCACAACATGAGTGGCACAAAAAATAAAAATTCAGATAAAGAATTGGTGGTTGGAGTAACATATATGAAAATGGATAAAGCTTTCATGGCTTAATTGTTGAATATTTTGAAGAAAGAACAAGAAAATCAACTCCAAATGAGTCTGACTTTTTATTAAGGGAGCTATACCTGAATTAGTTAAAAGTAAGAGTTCAAGGCAATCAAAAGTAAGTGATTCATTTTTAAAGACATTAAGAAGAAAGATGGGTGAATCAATATCAAAGTTTTTTATATATGATTGACTTCCTTTTTAGTTATCAAATTTTCATGGTTGCATAATTTGATTTAAATGGCAGTAAAAGTTGGCTAACATGTAAAACTTTCAATACCTTTCATGTCTCAAATTTGTATTTAGAGTCTAAGTATTAACAAGTTTATGAATGGGTTAATGGATTAAAAGCTCATTGGAACGACACCCAATTCAATCCAATGAGCTTTTGATCCATTAACTCATTCATGAACTTGTTGATATTTAGACTTTAAATGCACTTCTGAGACCTCATACGGTGTTGAAAGTTTTACATATTAGCCAACTTCTGCTGCCACATAAATCAAATTATACAACCATGGAGAATTTGCTAATTGAAAAGGAAGTCGATCATATATCAAAAATTTTGATATTGATTTACCCATCTTTCTTCTTAATGTTTTTAAAAATGAATTACTTACTTTTGGTTGCTTTAAACTTTTACTTCTAACCAATTCAAGTATAGCTCCCCTTAATGAAAATTCAGACTCATTTGAAGTTAATTTTTTTGTTCTTTCTTCAAAATATTCAGTAATTGAGGTATGAGAGCTTCGTCCCTTTTCATATATGTTACTCCAACCACTAGCTCTTTGTTTGAATTCTTATCTTCTGTGCCACTCATGTTGTGATTGAATACTATTTCGCATGACTTGTCTAGTAACGATATCTTCATCAATAAATCTTTTATAATCATCTTTCCCTTTTAACTGTGATAAAAATTCATTTTTTCTTCTTTTGTTGTCAACTTTTTTTTATTTGCTATCTTAGAGTAGTTTCATCATACTTTCTCTTACTGTACCTATTAATAATATAATTAAAAAAAAATTAATTGCACATGCTTATGTAATTTTATAATTTTTATTGAGAAATTAACAATAATATTTTCAAAGAAATTATAAAAACATAACATATCAGTAACGTTGGAGCATGGTGCAACATTACCAAATTTATCAGTAATATATTCCTTAAAACGTGTTATTCCTCTTTTTACCACTTTACCACAAAGTTTATATGAAATATTTCTTTTTGCATTTAACACAGGTGTTTCAAAATGTCAACTTATATCATCACTTAGTGTGCCCTTTACTCATTTACTTAGAAACTCTTCACGTGATGTCATACTTGTTATTTTGTATAAAAACTAAATAAACTTATATTTAAAATATTAATATTACTTATTGCATCATTAAAAATTGAATTTACGCTAAATTTTTTAATTTTTAATTTTTAATTTTTAATTTTAAGAGTAATAGATCATAAAACACTAAATTTATTAAGTAACTTAATCTTTTTGATACACTAATTGATATAAATTTTTTTATCACAAATAGCTTTCAATAATTATATAATAAATACAATTTTCAATAATTACTCAAAAATAATAAGAATTAATCTAATATCAAAAGAATTGACAACAATATAAATACCAAAATAACAAAAAAATTATTAATTTTAGATACAAAATTATAAATTAATATATAACACAATCAAAATATAATATTTAATTTTAATTAATTTTCATTTAACTTATACAAAAAAAATTTATCAAAATTTTCATCTAAAATCTCTATATATATTATATTGAATTATTAATCCCTTAATTTTTTTAATTATAAATCTTCAATCCCTCTAATTAGATTTTATCTAAAAAGTTTTAAAAATTAAAATTTTTCAAACTTATATTTTAATAAAATTTTCAAACTTATATTTTTTAGTTTTTAGTTTTTAATCTTAATAAGAGTAATAGATCATAAAATGCTAAATTTATTAAGTAACTTAATATTTTTGATACACTAATTGATATAAATTTTTTTTATCACAAATTACTTTCAATAATTATATAATAAATAGAATCTTCAATAATTATACAAAAATAGTAAAAATTAATCTAATATAAAAAAAATTGACAACAATATAAATATCAAAACAACAAAAAAATTATTAAATTTCAAATATAAAATCATAAATTAATATATAATAAAATTAAAATATAATTTTAATTTTAATTATTTTTCATCTAACTTATTCAAAAAAAATTATCAAAATTTTTCATCTAAAATCTCTATATATATTATATTAAATTATTAATCCCTTAATTTTTTTAATTATAAATTTTCAAAACCTTTAATTAAATTTTATCCAAAAAATTTTTAAAAATTAATTACAAAATTAAATAAAAATTTCTTCCACCCCCACCCCTACCCCTCATGACCCCACCCCCCACTCCATCCCCCCCCACCTCACCCAATCCCCCATCCACCCACGTGCCCCAAATATCCCAAAATTTTACCTAATACCTGTAGACTCAAGCACTTAGCTTGCTCTTTTTGTTCATCCTCTTCATGCTTATGGACTCTAGCCATCGAGAATCTTCTTCTTCTCTCTTTTTTTTTTTTTCATTTTTTATTTTTTTTCGCATCCCTTCATCACTATCACTATCACTTACCTAGTGCCTACATAATACCTCGTTCATCTCTTTTAAACTCTCACAAAGACAAACTTCATTTTACAAAAATTTTACAAAAAAAAAAAAGTAATTTAACTTTTTCTTCTTACCTTTATTGATCTTGATTGTTGATTGAAATTTGAAATTGATTTAAATTTGGATAATTTACAGATTGAGCTAGGGTTACTGCCAAAATACCGATTGAATTGTTGATAAATAATTTGTCTGTTCTCTAATTTGTTTTTAGATTAATTTTGATACCGAGGACATAAGGTTCTAAGTTTTATTTTTTGCTTTTGCTTTTACTTTTATCTTTGTAGGCTTATTATTTTATTCTGACAGTGTTGAAAATTTTTTTTTTTTTCTTATAACATGAACTGTTGACCCGTAAGTAAGAAAACGGGAATAACGGCAATAACGGTCCATTATTGCCGTTATTTCCTGTTACGTCATTTTTTTGCGATCGTTACACACCATTTTGACTATGAATGAATATTTCAACTGCATTTTCTTCAATAATAATGACGAATGGTGGTGCTATCGTAATTTTGTGACTGCTATTTCACTATTAAATTGCTATTTGATTCCTAGTTCCAAGAGAGATGTTAAGCAATTTGAACGAAAGTAGAGTTGACAAGTGAGATACTTAGATTCTCAGGTTTTTTTATGTTACAAAAGTGCCGTAGCCCGAAAATGAAGGAATAAGTCCCAGGAGTTGGGATTTAAACGATGTTAACTCTTAGAAGGTTTTTTTTATTTGAGTAATTACTTACGTATTCAGACGCATCCCTGGCTGCAACTGCAAGGATGTCTGCACAAGATACAACTCCAGGACATACGTTTTCCACAGCAGATTTTGCCTGATCAATGACTTCATATCCTCTGACATAGTTGTTATTTTGAAGTACAAACTTTTCGCTTGTGATTGAGGGGGAATTGTCAAGTAAGATTGAGGCATCACAACCCTGAATAAAAAGCAAGATACTCCTCCGTTAAACAATCAAAAACAATTTGCATATGCTGGTAATAATATATGAAATGCAAAAGAACAATAATATACGCTCCCACATACAAAACAAGTACCTGAACAAAGCAATCATGGAAATGAAGGTGGATTAGAGATGCCGCCATTCTACGTTCTCTTGCAATGGCGGATCTGATGGATGTGCGAATGGTACTAAGTGCATTTGGGCATGTTCTAGCATAAAATGTAGAAGAAAGCTGTGCTTGGCATGCGCCGCAGATCAAAAGCAGCAGCATCACAACAGCAACAGCTCTAACTGTAGCTGTTATCATTTTTGTATTCACTCACGAAAGGGAAAGGTAGCTAAGTTTGAAGAAAAGGCAGAGTTAATACACAAGGTACGTAGCCAGAGAAAATATTGGGAAGAATGCTGATGACAAAGTGAGCTTGCAGCTCACTTCTATTTATAGGGTATTTTAGAAGGGTCAGATTTTGCCTTGGTCGCTGTTTTCTTTTTGCTCCATTGTTAACGAATTTTCAATTTTGGAGCCGCTGACATTATTAATATGACCCATTCGTATTTGACTTGCATGGAGTTACTATTGGACGTGGAACTTCTTTAATGTAATTATTAACAATGTTTGAATCCAAATTTTAATTTAATTAATTTATACATTTATTTGTAAGATACAATATTCATTAAATCTAAAAGTTAAATCAAAGTATATGTAATCCCTTTTTTATCTTAAATTAAAATTTTTTTTATAAATTAAAAATTTTAATTTTAATTTTAAATTGGCTTGCCAAAATTTAATCTGAACTTGTGATCGATTTAAAATTTAATTCACCTTTTGATTTCAAATATTTTTTAATTATAATTGATATTTAATAAATTTTGTGAACATTTAAGTTAAAAATAAATTTATATTATCATCAATATATAACACTTATTTTTTTAAAAATGAATTCTAAATTAATCTCTGCTTCTCTAAATCAAAATATATTACATTTTTCATCCATAATTTTTTCATTTTCTATTGGTCCTTTCTAACTTTCTTGGTGTAAATTCAATCTGTGGTTGGTTCACTTTTTGAAGTAGTCTGAGCTTATTTTTTCTTCAATATTTGCCACCATTTGCTTCATTCCTTGGCGGCGGCATTTTTGTAAAATGTGCACCACAATTTGCTCTCTTAGCTGTAACGACGACGTTTTATATAGAACATGCCGCGGTTTCTAAGAGCGTGTTGTGCCAGCCACTCGTACAAGGTCAAAAGATTTTGAGACCAATTTCCTCCGGGTTGTATTGACGTATGTTGTACTGTTACTGATTTCAATGATTAAGAAATTAGGCCTCAAATTTAATTTAATTAATTTATATAATTATTTTTAATAAATATTGTTTAATAGATTTAAAACTTTTTAAATTAATTCAAATTGAGTGTAGTTTTAGGTGATTTTTATAAGAATTTGTATAACATTATTTTTTCTTTTTAATAATCAAATTAATTAAATTTAAAATAAAAACTAAAGATATATATATTTTAATAGTATAAGGCCCTATTTGGATTTAAACGTAAGCTCGGTGAAAATACTTTTTGTATGAAAAATTGTGCCAAATGCACCATGAAAACGCATTTGGCAAACAACATCAATGCAGTTGGAGCTGATTTTAAAAGCACCGTATCCCTTTTTTTCACCGTCCACTTCTCTCTCCGGTGAAAAATTCTCGTCCCCACCGCAGCCTTCTGCCTAAAATGCCCTTACTTTCTTTTTTATTTTTAATCGTTTTACCCCTTCAACAATAGTGAAGGAACAAAATGTCCCTTACACTTGTAGCTTTTAGCTTTGCTTTATTATTATTTTTATTATTTATTATTTTATAAAAAATAATATACATAAAAATAATTTTAAATATTTAATAATAAAGATTATTTGATATAAAAATAATTTTGTTATTTTCAATTTATTAATAAAAATATTACTTGATATAAAATAATTTTAATAATTTTTCATTATATATTAATTTCATAAATATAAAATATATTAAAATTTCATTATATATAAGTTTTAATTAATATTTTTAATAATCATTTTATCATTTTATTTTAATTTATTTTACCGTTACTATTGCATTTGTATTTAAATATATATTTTATCATTTATTTTAATCTTATTATTATATTAATAAATCTCACGTCTATCACTATTTTCAATTCTCTTTGAAATCAATCTTATTGTTTATCTAAATGGACCATAAGTTTTGAGTTCGATCATTTTCGACTTTAAGCTTTTAATAGAGATCAAGTTAAAAATTTCATATCAATTTATATTCAACTTGAAAACTTCATATTATTATTTTTTTGTTAAATCAGTATGGTATGGTTTTATTAATAAAGGAATCATATTAATTTATATTTAAATGTATAACATTTATACATTAAAAATACATTAAATATTGTAATATTAATTGTAAGTTTAACAAAATAAGAATTTAAGATCATATCAGCAGAAACTCTCTTTTGTTTTTTATTTTTATTCTCTTTTGGTATGTATAAAGGTCATTGGGCCTTAGGTTACAATATATATGTAAGAAGTAACACCTTTATCAATGAATCCGACTTCTCAAATTTTAAAATTTGAACTCAGAAACTTTCAAATTAAAATATCAAAGTATTATTTATGTTATCTTTGTAAGAATTTTTATATTTAAAGTTTGTATTATATGTTTATATTTTAATATAACATTCTATAATTATGTAGTTAAATGTAATTTTAAAGATTATATACAATGATTAAGCTCTTAACTTTGTGATCATAGGTTCATGTCCCACGGTGAACATTATAGATATTATTCTAATTACATTATCATATATAATTTTTAAAATTAGACTTGATTACATAATTACTAAATATTACATTAACATTGCACATCATGTGTTATAATTTTGATTTTCTTTATTCTTCTATTAAGATTGTTTTATAAAGAAAAGAGTAAGAAAATTACATATCTTATTGACACTACACTTTATAAAGAAAAGAAAATCATTTCATCCGACATAAAAATCACAAAAACAGATAAGATAGACATATGTCGGGGATATCTTATTCTCTTAATTCTCAAGCATACACAAAAACTAAAGGGGACCTTATGGAAAGTGAAATATTATTGGTTTATTCAAATGGCTAACAGTGTTTAGTACAGAAGCATCGGCGATGAAAGCCCCGACAATGTCCCCCTTGGAAACCCTCCGTCTGGCAGACAGTAGCACAATTACTCTCTCTCACGCACATCCCCTTGAACCGATGGCTCTGAGACTCGCATGTTCTACCTTCTAATGGTATGGCTCCGATCTCTGCTTTATTTGACACAATCGCATAACAAAAATATGCAAAAAACATATTTTTGGTAATTTGAATATACTATAGTAGAATATTTTCATCATTCGCCTTTAATAATAATAATAATAATAATAATAAAAATAATTGTACGTCTTTGTGCAAGAATCATTACTCTACTTTCAACAAATAGAAATAGGGGATAATTATTTTTTATAAGAGAAATTGCAGCTTTAAGATTAAAAAAATGTAAATTTGAAATTTAAATATTAAATTTATCGAATATCATTTTTAAAAGGTGATTACATGAATTAATTAAATTAATCTCTTATTTAGTATGACTCACAAAAATGAATATCTATCATACTTAAAAGTTATGTTTCTTGGGATTGAACGTAACATATATATATATATATATATATATTATAGTTTTGATATAGTTTTTGATTTTTTTCGAAGTATTTCTTTATATTTGAAAGTTTTGACTTTCACATTCGCGTCCATCTAAATTTGCCAAACACGAATATTTTATGAAAATTGAAAAATTGTAGGATCGTAGCAAATCAAGCTAATTTAAAAGACAAGAAATTACAAAAGGGTGAAAGTAAAGAAAACTGTTGCCTGAAGAAATAACAGAAGAAGAAAGGCAGTTGAAAATAAGCGGATGGAACGCTTCATAAAGTAAAACAATGAGAGAAAGAGACAGTGTTTTCGATGCAAAGAAATCAAAGCATTAGGAGGGGTTTGGAATGGAGCACGTGTCGAAAAAAAGGGACGAACCCACATGTATTGTTTTCCAGAGTGATGGAGAAATAAAGGGAAAAAAAGAGTTTCATCCATTGGCTTTATATAACTATTTTCATTTGTCAACATGTTAGTTCATTGACCCATTTCTAATTTATAGAAATGTTTATGGACAGGGTTAAACTCAATTAGCATTTCAAAAATTTAAGTTTGATATTAAAAATAGTTATATGATAAATTTTTAATATTTTAAATATGTTAATATTTTAGATGATTCATACAATCATTTTTAATAAATTATATTCAAGAAATTTAAGATTTAAATTACAACAATTAATTTTTTTTATTCTCATACTTTGTAAAAGAAATATGAGTAATTTGTTTGGTAAATCTTAGTTAAGTTGTTTGAATTGGGGTTATGAAATGTTGAATTATATTTGATTTCGAATAAGTTGATTGAATTTAAATAAATTTTTTTATTTGGATCCCTATGAATTTTGGTTCATTTTATTTTAAAATTTCAAGTCTCAAATTAGTTTGTTTATGTAAAGATCCTCAAAGCTTATCATAAAAAATTTATGAAAATATATTACAATATATATGTATAGATGATCAAATTCATTAGTTGTTTATAAATAAATTTATGAAATTAATCTTTAGAATCAAAATAAACAATACTTCCTAAGTTATGTGTCTATAACTTCTATTTTGGATTGTTGATTTTTTTTAATTAATTCAAATTGAGTTTAGTTTTAGGTAATTTTTATAAGAATTTGTATAACATTATTTTTCATTTTTAATAATCAAATTAATTAAATTTAAAATTAGAACTGTTGAAAATCTCATATCAAATTATATTCAACTTGAAAACTTAATATTAATTCATATTTAAGTGTATAATATTTATACATTAAAAGTACATCAAATATTGCAATATTAATTGTAAGTTTAACAAATCATGAATTCAAGATTATGAAAGCAAGAACTCTCTTTTGTTTACTTTTTCCATTTTTATTCTCTCTTGGTATGTATGGAGGTCATTGAACCGTAGGTTACAAGATATAAAAGAAGTAACACCTTCATCAATGAATCCCACTTCTCACATTTGAAAATTTGAAGTAGAAACTTTCAAATTAAAATCTCAAGCATTACTTATGGTATCTTTGTAAGAATTTTTATATTTAAAGTTTGTATTATATTTTTACGTGTTAATGTAATATTTTGTAATTATATAATCAAATATAATTTTAGCTATTAAGATATTATAATAAGACTTTTAATCCTGTGATATTGGATTCGTGTCACACAGCAGACATCATAGATATTATTTTAATTACATTATCATATGTAATCCTTAAAATTACATTTGGTTACTTAATAATAGAACATTACATTTCGCATCATGTGTTAAATTTTTATTTTCTTTGTTATTCTATTAAGATTGTTTTATAAGGAAAAGAGTACGAGAATTACATATATTATTGACACTACATTTTACAAAGAAAAGAAAATTATTTCATCCGACATAAAATCACAAAGACAGATCAGGTCGATATATGCCGGGGATGTCTTATTCTCTTAATTCTCAAGCACACACAAAAAAAAAAAGGGGACTTTACGGAAAGTGAAATATTTTTTGTTCATTCAAATGGCTAACATTGTTTAGTGCAAAAGCATCGCCGACGAAAGCCCCGACAATTTCCCCCGAGGAAACCCTCCGTTTGGCAGACGGCAGCGCAGTTATTCTCGCTCACGCATGCACCCTTGAAGCGATGGCTCTGAGACTCACATGTTCTACCCTCCACCGATATAGCTCCCATCTCTGCTTTATTTGACACAATCGCATAATAAAAACATGCAAAAAGCTTATTTTTCATACTATGAATATAACATTGTAAAATATTTTCATCAGATGCCTTTAATACGATGATGATGATGATGATGATTTTAAACACTAAATCATAGGTCTTTGTGCAGGAATCATTACTCTACCTATAAGACATAGAAATGAGGGGATAACTATTTTTTTAATAAAAGAAATTGTAGCTTTAAGATTTTAAAAAAATTGTAAAATTAGAAGTTAAATATTAAATTTATCCAATTCACCTTTAAAAAACGATTACATAAATTAATCAATTTAAATTTGAATTAATATAATTAATAAAAATGAAAATCTATTATGTCTAAAAGTTATGTTGCTTGGGATTGACTGAAAAAAATATATATATATATATATATATTATCGAGTTTTGAGATAGTATTCGCTTTCATAATATTTCTTTATATTTGAAAGTTTTAACTTTCATATTCATGTCAATCAAAATATGTCAAACATAAATATTTTATGAAAAATAAAAAATTATAAGATCATAGCAAATCAAGTTAATTTAAAAGATAAGAAATTACAGAGGGTAAAAGAAATAAACCTGTTGTCAAAAGAAACAACAGAAGAAGGAAGGCAGCTGAAAATAAACGGATGGAACGCCCCATGAATTAAAACTATGAGAGAGATAGCGTTTTCAATGCAAGGAAAGCAAAGCATTACGAGGCCTTTATATAAGGGGTTTGGAGTAAAGCAATGGTCCAAAAAAAAGGGAGGAACCCACATGTGTTGTTTTCCAGAGTGATGGGAGAAAGAAAAGGAAAAAAAAAAAAAAAAAAAAGGAGTTTCATCCATTGGCTTTATATAGCTATTTTAATTTGTCAACATTTTAGTTGATTGGCTCTTTTCTAATTTATAGAAATGTTTATGGACAGGGTTAAACTCAATTAATATTTCAAATATTTAAGTTTGAATTCTGCCTCGCACATTTATATATATATATATATATATATATATAATTAAAATATTAAAATAATTATGTGATAATATTTTAATATTTTTAAATATATCATTTTCTGAATATATGCTTTTGGTCCATTACTTCTATGTATGTTTTCTTTTTATTAATGTATTCTCAATTTCTATGGAAAATAAATAATTCATATAGAGGTGGTGGGATTTTTATAATTAACAATTAGGTTTATAAGTATGTCACATCTTCCGTAACTATAATTAATTAAGAAACTAATAAAATACAGAATTCCAATCAAGAGTTTAAATTTTTTTGAAATAATCACGAAAGACAATATGTTAGTTGTAAAACGATTATAAATAGGTAAATATACATACATTTTGCATGAATTTGGCTAAATACATTGATGAGTGATGAGATAAGAAAATGGCGAAAGCATATGAGTCGGTTAAAATTCAGTAAATTAAATTGGTGGAAAGAATTTATTGGGTTAAATTCCGTAGTGTTCTCGGTTCATTCCATTTAGTTAATGAATTTTGATTGTGAAATTAGAATTGTTGAAGCTAAAACAGATAAAATTAATGAATGAAAATTAAAAGTATGGTTATACATGCTCTGACCTATTAATTTTAAAGCCCAATAAATCCATCCTCCAGGTCCAAGCCTGTGTAAATAAGAACATGGAGCTAAACAGCTATTATAGCCCATACACAACAGGGTACTTTGGCACATAAATATGTGAGAGGACTCATGCAGCAATATCAGATAGAAACCTAACTCTTATCTCTCCCTCTCTCTTAATTATTGTATATTCAACAGGGAAAATTGTTTAAATGTTTTGCATGAGTAATAATATTACAATGATTCTTAAATTTAAATTATAATATAATATTTAATATAATATTTAAATTTTAAAAGTTTTTAATAAAATTTTTAAATTATAAATCATTAATTAATGTAATAATTAAAAAATTATATGTATGTTATGTGTTATTATTTGAAATTAATTATATTAAACGTGAATATTATTTAATTAATAAATTTATAATTTAAATATTACACAAAATTTTAGAATTTAATAACACATTAAATATTTTATTATAATTTAAAAATTGTTAGTTACATTTGCCCTTTACATTGTAGTAATCATTGTCTATATGAGCTCAAATTTGGTAATTATGTCAGTGTTTCTATCCTCTTATTTGTATATTCCAATGGAGAAATTTTGGTTAATTATTTATATTTCTCTTATTGGATTAATTGTGATCTTAAATTTTAGAAATAAGTATTAGTATTATTATTTTTAAGAAAATATTAATTTAACGGTATGCATCCAAGATTTATTAATTTAATGATTAAAATTTGAAATTTTAATTTAAATATACTAATTCAAACATAGAAAATGAAATGTGAAATTGAAAGGGTAAGTCATGACAAAAAAATTACTTTAATTGCATTCTGCATGCTTAGATTTTTTTTTTTTTTTTACAAAATATCATAATTTGAGAATAGAAAAACAATTGCAGGTATAAAAATTTGAATATTAAATTTGTTAGATATAATTTTTTAAAATAATTATATAATAAATTAACTTAATTAAATTTCAAATTTTGTATCCTTAAATTTTAAAACCTTAATCACAGCTATCAATTACGGCAAATAAATCATTGTCAGTACATATTATCTATTAGTTGCAGAAACAGCAAAGTAGAAGCATAAATTTTTTATTTAAAAATGAAAAACAACAATTATAATACCCACAAGCACTTGGAAAGGAAGCCATTAAAGATAACCATGCATGACATGATTTCCAAAATTAAATTCGCTCTCTCCAATAAATAAATGTTATATAATAATATAATTAATTAAAAACCTAGCTAAAAATAAAAATAGTTAGTAAATCACCAAATATATATATATATATATATATAATAAAAAGCAAATTAAGAGTTTTTTTGTTGCATGATCAGAGGACTCTCACCACGTCATAATTGTGTTTTGTGATTGAATTTTTAAAAAAATTTAAATCCAATAAACAAAAAAATATATATGGTATTATGAAAAATTTTCCATTATCCATCCAAATGAATTTAAGTCTAAGAATAATTTGAGCACGTAAAACTTTAACATATTTCATGTTTGATCGTAATGGTTGGCAATAAGGGACTGAATTGCACCAGATAAGTTAGTCATGGCAGCAACAAGATCAGTGATTCCTTTCTGGTTAACTTCGTTTCGAGTTTCTTCGATTTGAAGTCTACGTTGTTCAAGCTTCATCACTTCTTGGTGTCGTTTCTCTTTCTTCTCCTCGCAACTTTTGAGGGTTTGGGCCAAAACTGAAGCACTTCGCATTATACTTGAACCAATTTTCCGAACTTTTTTCCGTTTGGTCTCCGAATCCAAATTTTCACTTGACTCAGTCTCTGAAGAATCTGACTCCTCTATGAATGACAATGTATAAAAAAATGAAATATAATTAGCCATTGTTTTTCATCAACTGATCATCATTGCCAGCTTCAAGCAAAACTATCAAAAAAAATAATTCTGAGGATTAAAATATTTTAAGATTGAAAATTTCATGATTAATTTTGGAATGTTCGTATCAGAAATTTTCCTTTTTTTTTATTGGTAATGAAAGAAAGATCAATAAATGGGTACCCTGAGATCATAAAGGTTTCTGCAAATGATGGGTCAGCATCTGCAGAAACTCATGACCCTGATACCACAAGCTTTGGTCCCAAACTTAAAAAGAAGGCAACAGTGCCTAGACATTAACATTGCACTTCATTTTCCCTTCCAAATTAGTAATAATCTTATCTAAAAAGCTAGGGAAAATGAACCCCCAAAAACAAAATGGTTAGCCCTGGTGGGTTAATCATGTTAGTGTGACTTCTATGCTGTAAGTCAATGGCAGCTCTCTTTTTCTTCCAGTGCCCAAAATGATTTGATATCAAACAATCCAATTATTTTTTGCAGGAAATTAGCAGGTAAAATCTAGATTTGATGCGAATTATCATGTCTACTAAAAAACCCATCTAACAGTTAAAATGAAAACGTATAAGAATCCAACGGTTACTGTTTTAAGCTCAAATAAGGACTAAATAAAATTGAATGTAAGTTGTGAAAAGAATGGGGTCCCTACTAAATGAAAGGAGCAGAGCTTTCAAACCTGCAAATTTGACTAAAAACAAATATAATTATAATAAAATAATATAATCGCTGAAAGACAAAAAACGAAAAAGTTTCTCATTTGTGATTCTGACACACTCCTACTACTATGCTATACTCCAAGGACTGCAACATAAAAATAATTATAAATAAATAAATAAAATACAGTACCTGAAACTGTTATCGGAGCTTCAATCTCCGGCGGTTGTTGATCTGTCCCGACAGCTAGTTGGTCTGTTGGTTGAGAAATAGAAGGTTGCTTTAGTTGCTGTTGGTGAATGCTACTGGTACTTTGTTGTTGTTGTTGCTGAGGTTGCTGTTCTTGCTGTTGCTGTTGATGGATGTTGTTTTTTCTTTGAAGGACATCATTGAGGGCTTTAAAGACTTCAGGAGACATGTTGGTAGGCAAGTTATGGAGCTTACGTTGGTGTCTTTCCATGGACCAGTAAGAAGGGAAGTGATCAGAGGACTCGGATTGGGATGATTGGTACTGGCGGACCTTTTTGTACTCACGGAGGAGGTTATCCCACTTGTCGTTGCATTGGTTTTGGTTTCGGTAACAGCCATGATCCCAGCAATAGTTTTCAACCCATTTCCACTTCAGTTCTCCAGGTCTTGAATGTGAGCTTGTTGAAGGTTTGATACGGCGTTCATCGTCTAGTCTTTTAGCTGTGATGAGGATTAGAGTTTCTTGGATTGTCCAGTTCCCTTTGCGGTATTCACGGTTGGTGGTGGTGAGGGTGGTTGGTGTGGTGATGTACGGCACTTGGTGGTGAAGGGTTGAAGGTTGAGGCGGTGGAGGGTTGGACATGGTTTAAGCATGTGTGAAAGGGAGGAAAGGGGGGAATTCTGTGAATTGGGTTTGGGTGGTTTTGTTGGTTTGTGATGGATGCAACTAAACGGCTAGAGCATTAAACAGAGGTTTGTGAATATATTTGATTTTTTTTATTAAATTTAACAAATGATGTTAAATAATATTTTTATAATTTTTTATTAAACAAATAAATATGAATAGAGGCCTTTTAATTTATGAATAAATTCATTCAAAATTTATTTATTTATTATTTATTTATAATAATAAAATTATATTTTAATTTTTTATTTTAAGTTCATTTATATTTATTTAAGTTTATTTATATTTATTTAATATTTATTTATTTAAATTTGATTGATTATGATTTGTTTATTATTTATGAACATAATCATTTATATATATTTGTGAACATATTCATTTAATATTTATTAATGAATTCGTTTAACTTAATCAAATCGAATATGAACCAAATGTGAATTTTACAATTTAAATAAATTGAGTCCGAATGAATAAAGTAATCTTTTTTACCAAACAAGAACTAAGCCAAAACACCTCTAAAAATAAAATGAACAAACTACAACTAAACATTTTTTCATTCATATTTGATTCATTTTTAGCCTTACTTTATGTTTGGATTGAGGAAAAATGAAGGAAATGAAAGTAAAATAAAAGAAAGTAAAAAAAAAACAGAAAAATTTTCATTTGTTTGAATAAATTTTTAATTTAAAAGAAAGAAAAATAAGTAAAAACTCAATAGCCTTTGGTTTTACTTATAATCATCACTTTTTTAATATCCCAATTTAGGGGAAAAGCTAAGAAAATGAAAGTTAAAAAAAATTATTTTTATAAAAGGATTATTATCCATCATTTTATTAATATTAAAAACCTAATAAAAAAAATCTAACCACATCACAATCTTTCTGTAACTTTTTCAAAGCTATCTTTTTTTTCAAATAAATTTCATATGTCTCTTCTAATATAAAAATTTTTAATTTTATGGTGATTTGATTTTGATGAATGATTAAATATACATAGACATTTTTGAAGTTTATGAGATGTAATGTTTTTATGTGATTGTATTTTTTATATTTAATACTTTTTATATGAATACATTGCCAAAGTGATAGTTTGTTGAAATTTTGGCAATGGTAAAAAAATCTATCAATGCATGTTTGTAAAATATTTTTCTATTTTACTTGATTAAAAATTATTGATATAGCAACGATTGTGAAGCCATATAAGATAGTAAATATATCATGGTAAAAAAACGCTCTAAAATTATAGGCAATGAAATGTTATAATTGAAAAAAATTATTATAATGAATCATTTACTTTCTTTTTCACTTTTTATCCAAACAATGAGTGTTATAATTCTTTTTCTTTTCTTTTCTTTATTAATTTTAATTATTCAAATAAAAGGTACATATATCTTTTATTTTTTTAAAAACTTTATTTTCCTTGTTTTTCCTTCCCTTTCCTTTCATTTCCTTTATAAATATTTATCCAAGCATTAGAGATTAGAGAAAGAAAGGGTAATTTTTTTATTTTGTTTATTTTATTTTATTTTATTAAAGGTTACGATAGAGCAAGGCAATTTTTTATTTTTAAAATATTTTTAACTATATATTTTTTTTGCCAAAAATTTTAGCTAACTCAATGGTAATGTGATTTGTTATAAAGATTTATATTTGATATATTATTAGTGTATAAATTTTATACAATGTAATTGAATTGAATGATGACACTTTAGTAATAAAGTAAATCAGATAATATCACCTCATTAATAAGTAAAATTTTTTAAATATTAATTTATATATATATTTTAAGAGTTGATATTTACCATTTAATAAGATAGTATTATCTTATTCACTGACAGTATATAGAATTTGTATACTAATAATACATTAAATATAAACTTTTGTTATAAAATATTGAATTCTTAATTATAATTATCAAAAATCAAATAAGAAAAAAGAATAAATTCAACTAATATTTCTAATCTTTTACATCAACACTTTTTATTTAACATAGCATTTTTTTTTTTACTTTTTTCACAATAAAACCACTAAATATTATAAAATTTTAATTTTAATGTAAAATACTAAATAAAATATTTTAATTTTCGTATTAAATATTCAATTAAACAGAAAATAATTAAATTTAGAAAAGAAAGTTAATAAAATGACATTACAAAATTTTCAACAATAAAAATAATTTAATAAGTTTGAAAGTATACTAATCTCATAAAAAAAAAATTAAGATGAACAAATTTTATGCCTTTTTAAAACACCTATTTTTCCAAAATGATCACAATTATTTTCTAGCCTAATTTTGAAGTAATGAAAAAATTTTAGTAACTAAGTGGAATGGAGGTAAACACTTTTCACATTTATTTCACCAAAAAACAATATTTTCACATTCATTGCTAATATATCAAAGAGTCTTCCTATTGGATTTGCTTCAATTTGATACACTTAGTTAAGAAATTAAAATTTTATCCTTACAATTTATATATTTACGTGCAATGCCATTGTAATATTTTGAATTCTCTCCTCACTTTGAATCCCCTAATTTGTCCTAAAACTCATCTAATAATTTATAAATTACAAAATAATGTGTTCATAACGAAATCTAAACCGATACATGAATCGATATGCTCATAAGCTTTTTAATAATGTTGTCCAAGGTTTGATTCAATCATCAAATCCAAAAAATTTCATAATTATAAAAAATTATATATTAAAATATTAAATAATATATTTATATATATATGTATATATTATATTACAACTTACATAACTATCGGATAGTAATTACTGACATATATGCTTATATTGACAGCTTCTTTTTTTGCCATGTAAAATAATTTCTAAAACTTCTCATTATGATAACACCTAAGATTTTATTAATTTTAAATTATTTATAAAAAATACATTTTAAAAATTATTAAATTATCTTAAATTTTAAAATTTAATAAAAAACTAATTTAAATTTTAATGAAATTTTTTTCCTGTACATCAACTCATCTCAATTTAAAATTAAGTTTAAAGTAATTTATCTTTTTCAATTTATTTGAAGTTAACATGAGTATTTAAATTTATCACAACTTTTAAAAATATTATTTAATATCTTTAATATTTTTTATAAATAATCATTACATTATTTTCAGCTTTTAAATATATTTTACAAAAGAAATGTGAAAAAGATATATAAATACCAAAACAATTTCAGAAAAATTTCTCTTATACATCGCTTTATCTTAATTTAAAATCAATTTTAAAGTAATTTATATATTTTTAATCTATTTGCAGTTAACATGAGTATTTAAATTTATAACAACTTTTAAAAATATTATTTAATATATTTAATTTTTTTTATAAATAATCATTATCTTGAGCTTTTAAATATATTTCACAAAAGAAATGTGAAAAAATGTGAAAAAATATATATATAAATACCAAAACAACTTAAAGAAAGTTTCTCTTGTATATCAAGTTTCTCCTGTATATCACCTCATCTCAATTTAAAACTAATTTATCTTTTCTAATTTATCTACAGTTAACATGAGTATTTAAATTTATTACAACTTTTAAACATATTATTTAATATCTTTAATTTTTTTTATAAACAATTATTGCATTATCTTTAGTTTTTAAATATATTTCACAAAGAATATGTGAAAAAAATATAAATACCATAACAACTTTAGGAAAGCTCTCATTGTTAATAACTCTTAGTTATATAGCTTTCCCAATGTCTCACTTAATTAAACGTATTTTTTTCAACTATTAATTGAGCATTTATTTTTATTAGCATATTCTTGCTATAGGAACTAACATGTTTTTTTTTTTTATTATAGGTACTATTTCACTAAGCATACTATTCACTCCATTAGGTAGGAGATACTATTTCACAAAACAAATTATTCGTTCCACCAGGTAGGATTTTTTATTTTTCAAATAAGCTATAATATTTTTTTGAGTTGTAATATTTAAAAAAAAACTACAAAAATACATATATTTTTATATTTTTATTGGTGTTGTCTGCAAACCTTTTATTTTTATGCGAATTCTTCACTCAATCAGGTAATATATTTTATCTTTTAACTAATTATTTATTCAATATTCTCCATTCGTATAAAATAAAAGTGATGCTTTGATTAGTTGATATAATAGAGTTATGTGCCATAAACATAAACTTATGTACCAATTATACATTCAAAAAGTGAATAATTTCTCAACTGATATCTCCATTATAAAATATGTAACATAATTTCAAATTAAGAGATTATTTTTCATAAAAAATAAAATTGAAAAGAAATAATTCAAGGATAATCTTATCAGTAGTATTAATTTTAAGTTTATTTATATTTTAGTTTAAAAAAACCTTAGAACCATAAAAGATTTCATCAAGATTTCTGAAAAGGAAAATATGAATCATATGATAACTCTACAATTATGAAACAAAGAATTTCTTATAGTTTTCAGCAGAATTTAAAAAGAAAACTTTGTTTTTATTATGATTTGATATTTTAATTATATTATTTATATGTTACATATATTTTGAATATGTAAATAATTCAATAATATTAATTTATATTTTTATTTAAATTTAAATAAAATAAAAATAATTAGTGTATTGCACTAGTAGCAAGCTGGTTTTTATTATATTTTAGAGTAAAATTAAATTTAAAAATATTTTTATTAATAATTTAGTATTTTAAATTAAATGGAATCCAAATTTTAAATTTTTTTTTCCAAAACTTAATATGAAAGAACCCAATCCGTGGGCGTGAACCGGTCTAAGGAAATCTTAATAATAAGAATTTGAGATTCTCTTATGAAGGATCATTCAAATTATTTAAGACGAAAGGGATGGGATATATAGTTGGAAGATAATTACTTACTATGATTTAATAAAAAAAATCATATTTGAGATTAAAAATATTTTAAAAATTAATTTATTTTTAAAATCAGATAAATCGCCAACTCACAAAA